CAGAAATCTGCACTGTTTCTTTTCTTCTTTCTCTCCCTTCTTCCTTCCCCAGCACTTACCGCACGCAAACCTCAGGCGGGGGCACGTACGGAGGAATCTAGTTCTAACACAGAGCAGAATAGAGCGGGGTGAGGGCCCGGGACACACGGGAGGCCGATCCCTTCCAGAGGCTGAGGTCAGGAAGGGTTCACGGAGGAGGCGGCCTTGAGCTGCGTCTTGAGCGAGAAGCAGCGTTCCCCGCACCGGCCGGGGCACGGGCCAGGGGATGTCCTGTCCTGGCCACTCCTTCTGCCACGGGGAGCCTTGGGCACTCAGGAGGGACAACAGGCTGAGGGTGGGGAAAACAGCAGATTTGCCAGAAAAACAACTTCGTGCCTCTGCTGGCCAGGCACAGAGGGCGGGAGGGATTCCTATTGTTCCTGCTTCCTCCCAGGGGCCGCTGACCGCCAGCGCCGTGGCCTCCAGATCAAGAGGGAGCTGCTAGAAGATTCCTCAGACTCCATAGCAGAGCACGGCCGGATGCATGAACAGCCACCTCCTTATACTACAGAAGATGCTGGGTCTGGGGAGGCGGGGTGACTGGGTCAAGGCCGCGCAGCAAAATGCTTTCCTGAGTCCCTGTGTAGGGCTCAGATGACTTGCTGGGGCTGAGCGCCCTTCTCCCTCTGTCCTGTGTTGGCGGAGATGGTTCTCAACTCCTCGCCAGGCGGGTCGGCACCGCCCCCACTCGCTCTTAAGGTCTCAGAGGGGCTCCGGGCAGGGGCACCAAACTGCGCTGGTGAGTAAATGGACGCACACAGATCGAGGTGCCCGGGGTGATTAAGGAAAGTGCTGATGGGCCTTCCTCGTCGTCACTCGCAGCTGTCATGGCGGAGTCAGTAGGCCCGGTCCCTGTTTGCCATGCGTCGGGGCCGAGCCCCCTGCTAGCCTTCCTGGGAGACCCCCGGGGCTTGCCTTTGCTCCTCAGGCTGCCTGTTGGTGCTGTGGACACTGCACCAGCGAACTGACAGGTCTCCTGTGACCCTATGTCACCGATGAGACAGTGCAGGTGTTGGGAAACCAGCCACCGCCCAGCAACCAAACCGAGTTCAGGGTGACAGTTCAGAGTCCTTCCTCTGAGAGAGACAAAAGGCTACAAACCCTTCCCTGCCCCTCTAGCCAGGCCCCTGGGCTGAGCTCTTCATCTCCCGTCCTCTCTCCAGCCCCAGGCCCACTCCCTCCCCTGCAGGCGGGGCTCTAACCATGACCCTGAACTTGGAAGCCACTCTCAGCAGGTAAAAGAGGAGTTTGGGGGAGAAGCCGGCTGTGCCTTCTCTCCTCCCCCACCCCACGCCTCCTCTGGGTCCAGCCCTCCCTCTCTCCCCTCGCGGGGCTCCCCCAGGGGCAAAGAAAGACTCGACTTTCAGCTATTGTGGGGCTGGGAAAGAACACTTGATACCCTCACGCTGGGTTCTCAGTGCAATCTGTATTTAATCTTCGAAATAACCCCAGGGAGTAGGTACTATTTACTATACAAATGAAACCAAAGCAAACCTGAAATTCAAAGGAGTTGGGGAATTTGCCCCAGGCCACAGGGCTGAGGAGTTGACACCAGGTTATGCCAACACTCTCTCTATCAGGCAAGGTGGATCCCCCCTGCTCGCCTTGGGGCTTTGGCTTGTGGCCCCTGGGTGCTGGGGTGAGAGGTGGCTCCTTGGGACAGAGTTAGCAGTCAGTGTGAAGAGGAATCACATCCATGAAGTGCAGCAAAGTAAATTCAACTGCAGTGACTTAGGGTCACTTAGGCCCTTTCTAGGCCCAGCCCTGTGCCCTCCCCTTGTACCTTGACCTTGGCAAATCAGCAGCTAAACAACTTTGGCATCTCAAACATCCAAAGTATGATGAGCTAGTAAGCACCTTGCCTCTTTTTTTTTTTTTTTAAACATTTCTAAGTACTGGGATCCTAATATCGGAACCAAGACTACAAGCTGGATGCGATTCCATGTTCAGCTTCCCTCTTCCTCACTGTCCCTGGAGCTAGCCAGGGCCTAGGGGTGGGGACAGAAATGAGAGGTGGCTGAAACCAGCAGACACATGACAGTGGAGGGCCTGGTTCAACAGGCTCCTGGCCTTAGCCTTGGAGGGGAATCCCTGCCTTCCCTGAGCTCCGGTTTTCCCGTACGACCCCGATGATAAGAACAGTGTCTGCGGAAGAAAGAGTAAGGAAATCCAGCGGAGTCCCAATAGTCAGGCCAGCAAATTACTAAAACCAGGTAAGTAGACTGAGGCCTGAGGAAATACTTCTATTCTTGCTTTAACTAGCCTGGGACATAAACTTTTGAACTTTCCAGTTATGCCTGGAGTACTTTCATCCTATAGGTGGCCCTCTGATTACCCCGTGAATGACTAAGGAAGGACATTCCGGTGTCCAGGCTGCCGAACATCCATAATCCCGGCCAACGTGACATCTGGACTAAGTCTTCTCAGGAATGTATGTTTTACTATAAGAGCTCTTAGCTTTTCTTTCTTCTTCAGAACATGCTGGGCATTGCCTCATCATTGATAATGAGGTTAAATAATCCAGGCTTCCATCGATAGGTGAATGAATAACGAAGTTGTGGTATATACACACACACACACACACATACACATATACACAATGGAATATTACTCAGCCATAAAAAAGGATGAAGTCATACCGTCTGTGATGGCATGGATGGAGCTAGAGGGTATCAAGCTGCGTGAAATAAACCGGAGAGAGAAAGACAAATGCCATGACTTATATGCAGACTCTGAAGAATAAATGAACACATAGAACATAAAGAAAAGAATGAAGGACTCTCTAATTTATTGCAATGAAAACATTGAAAGACAAACGCGAGTCTGATGTTGTGTGGAAAAATAATGGTGAAAAAGAAAGTCCATAAATTAGATGTTTTTTTCCTCCTCACCTCTAAAGATCTCAAAATATGCAAATCGTCATCCACAAGGGAAGCTGTCCCTGTTTCCCAGCACTGAGCCTGGGCCTGATAATAACACCCAACTCAGGGCTCTTTTAATGACTCAAGGTAGACAAGCCAGTCAGAGAAAGACAAATACCACGGGATTCCACTGAGACGTGCGATCTAATGAACAAAACAAGCAAACAAGTGAAATAGAAACAGACGCATAGATGCAGGGGACAGACTGGCAGCTGTCAGAGAGGAGGCGGTGGTGGGGGCTGGGCGAAAAGGTGAAGGGATTAGGCAAAAAACAAACAAAACAAAAACCAGGCACAGACAACAGTAGAGGGATGGGGGGGGCGGGGAAAGAGGCTGGGGGCGGGGGAAGAGGGGGTCCCTGGTGGTGGGGAGCAATGGGACTGCGGCGGTGAGTGCCTGGTGCACTGTGCAGGTTTGTTATTTGAGACTTGAATGGTTTCATTAACCAAAGTCACCCCAATCAATTCAATTTTTAAAAAGTATATTTAAAAAAAAAAGGATAAACAGGTATAGTGCTTTTCCCCATGGGTAAGTCCCCGGCCCAAAAAAGAAGGCGTTATCTCACACTTTGTCCTTCTGCAGTAATTTGAAACATTTCCGGCAGGAAGCACAACGCAACCGAACAAGCGCTTTCTCTCCGCTGTAGACGGAGAGGTGGAGAGGGCGGATCTGGACGCGGGCGGTTCACTCTGGAATTAAGAGCCCTGGCAGGGAAGCCTGGCTTCTTGGCCAGCACTTGTGCCCTGATTTTTACGGCTGCTCGGAACCAGACACAGTTGTTTAGAGCCTGGTCAACAGGTTATGCAAAAGGGATCACCTGAGAAACGCCTTTTCAAAAAAGCACCGCCAGTTCTAGAGGCGTTGAATTCGGATCCTAATTTGGGTCTCTAGAGGGAGTTGTAGGGTGGAAGGCACCGAGCACCCCAGGGGCAGGACTCGGAGAATGGGCGCTGCCCACGTGCCCAGCGTGGGGCTGGCACCCCGTAGGTGTGCGCCCCTGCTCAGGCCAGGCCCCCAGCTCCCACCTGGGAGCCCCCTGGCCTTTGCAAAGGCAGCAGTCCCTAGGGGCCAGCATTTCCCAGGTCGGGGACAGCGCTCGCTCCTTCAGAAGCTACTTGTGGAAAATCTCTAATTCCGAATCAGAGGGTCTGGAAATTCCCATTCTTAGCAAACACGTGAGCTGAGGCTCCTGCACCTGAAGCCTCTTCTGCAGGGCTCCCAGAAGTTGGCCCCACCTGTAACCCCCAAGCAGCGTTCCAGGGGAGTGAGGGCCGCTCTCCCGGTCCCTGGGTCTCAGGGCAGCGCTGGGCTCCTCCTGGCTTGTCCCACGGAGGTCTCCCCCCCGCCCTCACCTGCTGCACGAAGTGCTCCGTCTTGGCTGGGCGCTGCGGACGTCTAAGGCGAGTCTAAAAAGGGAGTGGGCAAAAAATCTTCACACACAGAAAATTCAACCAACTGGGGGTTTATTTACATAATTGGCCGAGAAAGGATACAAAAGAAGCCTCAAAATCAGGCATACAGGAAAAAAAAACTCTCTAACATTCAATTCTCAATGGGGTGAGGACCTGGACGTTGGAAAGAAAATGAAGAGAAAGAAAAGGCTTAGAGATCACCTATAACACGGGTGGCCGATCCCACGGTCAACGGCCACTCAGGCTGAGTGATAGTCTGGAGTTCATCTTCTGTCCCATGAATTTGGCCCCCAAGAAAATCCCTGTCTGGTTTCAACTTTTGAAATTTCTGGGTTAATCTTAACTAGACTTCAAGAAATTCAGAGCCAAGTGAACTTGGCCTGATAGTGTCTCCAATATGGCGGGCAGGGTGGGAAGGTCTTCTCGCACGGACCTCAGGAGGTCTTGTCCCTCCCCCGTGAGACTCAGCGGGCATCTCTGGGGCTGCTCTGCACCCCTGGGCGGCCGGGGAGGGGCGTCCTCCAAGCCCACCACAGAATCCCTCCCATGGTCCTTCCTGTGAGCAGCAGCCTCGACTCTCCCACTAAACCATGCTTTGCTTCCTCTTCCTCCTACATCTTTCTTCCCCCCAACTCCCAGCATGGCCGGGCAAGCTATAATTATCTTACATGTGTGAAAATGTGCCATTATCAACTTTCATCATCTGAGCTAAAACAAGAACATTTGTTCTCTCTTTTCCTCACAAATATTAGTGATGCAGAAGCTGGATCCAAGTTCCAACCTCCCATGAGCCTCCAGGATGGGAAGCTGAGTCTAGCTTCACGGCCACAGTTTTCGCCTCCACCAATTCCTTTTTCTGTCTGTCTGTCTGTCTCTCACCGTCTCCACTCCCCCATACCACCTGGTTGGGTTTGATTGGTGAAACATGAGCATCGTGGCCGCCTTTGCATGGCCTAGAAACTTCTAAGGGCAACCGGTAGATGCTGCCATTGATCCCGCCGACTGATCAACCATAACCATGTAGAACTTTCAGATATTCTGGAAACAAAGTCAGAACAGTGGCCAGTCATGGGGCTTGGCAGGGGGCACAGGGTGAGAGACTTCCTCTTTCTGCCACCTCCCTGACCAATGGTCCAAAGTCAGTCAGCGGGTCATCCTGGGGGAGCGTCAGGACCAGGCTCGCCCTAACCTTTGAATCCGGGTGAGACATGGTCAAAGCGGGCATCGCAGAAGAGGAAAGGATGCTACGACGGCAGACAACATGAGCTCGCAGGCGCCAGAGGGTGTCTAAGCCCCAGCCACACAGGCTGCCCACGTAGCTGCCCCGGCCCCTTCCCCGAGCCAAAGACCCAGCCCACCGAAGACCTCCCATCGCTCACAACCCAAATCGGGGTCCCGTATCTCCACTCCTCTCGCCCAACCTCCTTCTTGCCCTGTTTCTACTTCCTTTGCAACCATCTCCTACTTCCCTGTTCCTTCTCTAAATCAAACACTTTTATTTCCAGATGTGGTACGTCCCTCACGCCCAAGACAAAGCACCCTTCGGTGGCTTGGCAGAGAGATGCAGCGCTGAGGCTCGAACATGCAGCTGGGCCAGGCTGGGCTGGACCGGGCACATCAGCCCTCCAGCGGGCTCCCTCACCCGACCTTTGTCAGCGGCAGCCTGCACTTGAACCTGCCCCCATCCCTCCCCTCACCCCACCGCACACTCGTGTCAGAGAAAGGTAACAATGCCAAGCTTTTATCTACTTTAAACAGTCACGACACATTGCCAACACAGTTTCAAAGTGTCAGCCTTCAAAGAGATTTTTCTTCCTTCCTTCTTCTCCAGCCTGTAATTAAACTGCCAGTGACAAAGTGTGGAGGAGGAGATGGGGGACGTGACTTCAGCAGCAAGCTGCTCCTTTGGTGCCCTCAGAACCCCGGCCGTGAAGGGCTGTGAGCGCCGGTCAGCCGCGACCTTTCCAGGACAAGATGGCAAATCATGTCACGCCGGGTAACAATCCTTTCCCCCCATAATCACCTATCTGCTGCCCGCCCAGGCTGCTCGCGCCGGTTGAGGGTTTGCCTCCACGCGCGAGCTTCCCACAAAGGCTCCAGTGTGAGCAAACTTGACCCTGACCCCAAAGGTAACATCAGCCTCATTCTATGTGGGATTGTCCGTCAGAGCCACCCATGTCCAAGAAACGTGAAAAACTCAGCAGAGGGGTAAAGATGTCCCATTCACAACAATCGTCAGATTCGACAGAGAGAGACTTTTTTCCTTCCAAGTAGGTCATGGCTTCGAGTCTGAGATGCGTCTGGATTTGTATGGCTGCCGGATGGAGGCTCCCATCATTCCAGAAGGGTCTGCCCCGCAGCAGCCCCCACTAGCGGACAAATGACGCCACGCTGCCGGCCACGCCGAACGGGGCGGCGTAGGCCGCGGCGAACCCCTGCAGGCCGATGACCACGTAGCGGCATCCTTTGATGATGACCTTGCCCACGTTCTATTTTTAGGAATCGAGACAAAAAGCAAAGAATTTGGTTAGACAGCTTCCGCACGAGGGTGACGTACCTAAAGAACCAAGCTGCTTCGCTCCCCCGGGGTCAGTGAGCAAGTTACCAGGTCATGGTGTTCGTCTCTCACCCACCCCTCCCCACGCCCACCCCTGCTGGGAACAAGCGGGGACTCAGGACGGACGTCACCGCCGTGCAAAGTGCTCTCAAACACATTTCCAGATAATTCAGAGATCCTGAGACAGCAGAGGGGGTGCGAGCGCCAACACCACATTTGTTTTATTTTTTAAGCAAAGCCGACTCCTTGTTCCAGCTACGGTGCCGGATCACTGGAAGGCTGGGTCAAGTTTTCCTTTATCCCCCTTATCCAAAGCCCACCCTGCCCTCTCCCTGCCTTCGGGACATACTCCTGCCCCACCCACACATTTGTCTCTTTCAAGTCTCTGACTGCAGACACAGTGACAGACTCCTAAAGGGTACGGACCGGCCACGCTTTCCTGATGGCTACTCCTGCTCCCCTTCCTTTCCTGCAAGGCCTGGTGCTAGACGTGCTGGGGGCGGGGCATCCACGGACAAATGGAGTCACAGCGAAAGTTCAGTTCCCCGCCAGTGGACAAACACTGATCAAGTGGTTGCCGCGGCCTCCCGCTCCTCATCCGCACCGTCCCTCAGCGCTCTCTCTCGATAACCTCGCGGTCACGTCGGTGATCTGGATCCCATCGTCCGCCTCGTCTCAGCCCTACGCGCTGTCCCGCTCCAATAATCAGGCGACCTGGTGTCACGTAACATTCCTGATCACAGCCGCAAACCTCGCTCGGACTTCAGACACGGCCTGGCGCCCCATCTGTCTGCCCGGGGGGCCGACCTCCTCCGTCTCCCAGCTACTCCTCCTCGTCCTTTTCGTTCTCCGCGGGTCTCCCCACCTCCCTGTCTCCGTGCCCGCAGTAGGTGACCCCACTTCCTCTTTCACTGAAAAGGTCAGAAGTCCCAGGGAACCCACTCACCTTCCCACCTCGCCTGGGTTCCCGTGCAGAGAACGGCCCTCTCCCCGCAAGGCCATTCCTGTGACGCTTGCTGTCAGTCCCCTCTGTCACCCAGGCCCTGGCTTTCCACTCTCCAGAATCATCATTCTCTTCCTTCCATGACCCTGACTCCACATCTTCCCCTCAGTGCTGCCCGGGTCTCCGCTCTCCTTCAACCCACGGGAAGGGCCGTCCCCACAGACGGCCTCCACGCGGCTCCGACCCCACCGATCCAGGACGCGAGGTCACGGCTGCCTGGTCACATCAATGGCTTCTCTAGACACTGACCCTCGGGATGCTGCCCAGTCGACTTCTCCATGAGAGTTCAGGGTGCAGCGCATGCGTGTGCATGCGAGTGTGTGTTGGGGTGACGTTGCTGAGAGAGACATCTCTACAAATGTGTGACAAGAGTCAGCGGGAGAGTTTTACTTACTGTTTCAAACAACAACAACCACCAAATTGCCCTCTGGGTGCAGGTCAACCGTCAAGAGCATCCCTGGTAAGCGAAGCCGCCAGAATCACCGGTGGCCTGCACGAAACCTGCCATTTGGGGTACTTGTTCCTCCATTTCCCGCAATCTGCTATTTTAAAAAACTGCTTGTCACTTCATCTTTGCAACTTAGGGGGGGGGAAGCTACTAAAATAGCTCATTAGCGGGAACACTGTCAAAGCACAGAGTTGAGAACACAGGAGGCAAAGAAACATGAAACGTCCATCGATGGCCTTTTCCAAAGAAGTTTTGAATTCTTTGATCTGAGTAGAGCTTTCAACCCAAATAATCTGTTGGACGGGCGGAGGGGCGTGGGGGAGCACAAGAGAGGGTGGTGCGGGGAATGATGGCCCTTCCGCCCCCAAAGACGCCCTCCTCCTGATCCCCAGAATCAGCAAACACGTTCCCTTAGGTGGGCAAAACGGGGTCCCCAGTTTTCCGAGGCTGCTGCGAGGATTTGGAGATGCCATGCGCGACCTGTGCACACACCACGTGTGACCTGTGCACACAGCACGAGGCAGGCGCCCTAGGGGAGCACAGCGCATGCACGTCCCCTCCGCCTCCCTGAGCCCAGAAAACAGCTCTGCAACAACGAACGCACCCTGTGAACACTGGCATCGTTATTTAAAGTCAACCTGGAACAGCGCCCCGGCCCACACCATCTCCCGGGGCCACAGGGCAGTGCGGGCGTGTGAACCGATCCTTTCATATGTCACAGAGGCCAAACATCTTTCTTTACCTAGAAGCAGGAAGGGACTTCGGTGAAGAATGGGAGCAGTTTGATAAATAGGAACTTTGATTGCCCTTCCACGAAGGAAAAGCCAGCCCTCCGTGGTAACAATGGACTCGCTTCAGCAAAGTGCATCCTTAGGTGACTTCATCCTTGTGCAGACATCGCGGCGTGCACTCCCACACCTGGGCGGTCGAGCTGCTGCACGCCCAGGCCACGTGGTATCTATCACCCACTGCTCTGGGCTACAAGCCTGCCCAGAGGACGCAAACTGAACACTGTGCGCAGCTGTTACCCAACGGGAAGGAAAGTACTTCTACAGGATGGGCAGCAAGCTCCAGGTCCCTCCAGTGCTGCCCTGTGACCATGACAAGGACCTCACTAGGTAAGAGGACTTTTTCATATCGTATGCGACCACTGTCCTTTATGCGGCTGGCCGAACCGTCGTTATGGAGTACGCGACTGTAATGTGGAACTGTGCGCAGGTCACCTCCTATTCCATGGGGCCCACGGAAAGGGAAATGTCACGCGTGATGAAAGCAGGGGAAATCCCCTCCCCGCTTTCTAGCCGAGCGGTGGCTGTTCTCGCATGCTCAATGAAGGGTCCGCTCTCTTCCCCTCTGGGCTGGATCCTAACTGGCTACCTTCTCAGTTGCTTCAGAAAAAAAATGGACGGAGGAGCTGCTCTTTGGAAAGGCAGAAAGGGCAGGCCACTCTGACGTGACAGTGTCGTCTCACCTGAGCTAGTCTACTGAACTAGCGTGTGGCCCCCGCGCAGGGCGTCCCACCTGTGGCCTGCGGGCCACATGCAGCCCAGGATGGCTGTGTATGCGGCCCAACACAAAATCATAAATTTATTTAACACATGATGAGATTTTTTTGTGATGACGCATTACAGTGTATTTAATGTGCGGCCCCAGACAACTCTCCCCCTGCCAGCGCGGCCCCAAGGTGCCCGAGGCTGGCCACCCCTTCAAGGGCTTCACATGTCCTCGTCTCTGCTTGCACTGGTCCCTCCGCCCTGGAGGTCATCCCTTGTCCACCCAGTGAACTTCTTTTCTTTTTCCTTAATTGAGATGAAATTCACATAATAAAAATTAATCATTTCGAAGTAAACAGTTCAGTGGCATGGAGCACATTCACGATGCTGTGTGACCAGCACGTCCACCTACTTCGCGGACATTTTCGTCATCCCTAAAGGGACGCTCATACGCATTAGACAGCTGCTCCCCTACCCCCAGCCCCAACCCTTGGCAACCACCAATCTGTGGTTGGTCTCTCTGGATTTACCTATTCTGGATATTTGATACAAATGGAAACATGCGTGCATACCGTATGTGATCTTGTGTGTCTGGCTTCTTTGACTTAGCCTGATGTTCTAGGGGTTCATCCGTGTTATCGCATGTATCAGTACTTCGTTCTTTTTATGGCCATATAATAGTCCGTTGTATGTATGCATCACATTTTGTTTGTTCATTTATCAGTTGATGAACACTTGGGTTGTTTCTACCTTTTGGCTATTGTAAATACTGTTGCTATGAACATATGTGTGTGTGTGGGGGGGTGTGTGTTTGGATACCTGTTTTCAATTCTTTTGGATATATACCTAGGCGTGGAATTACTGGATCACGTGGCAGATCTCTATTTAATTTTTTGAGGAACTGCCAAATTGCTTCCCACAGCATCAGCAACATTTTACATTTCTGCCAGCAATTCCCAAGGATTCCAGGTTTTCCACATCCTCGTCAACACTTGTTATTTTCTGTGTTGTGCGTGCATGTGTTGGTAACACCCATCCATGTGAAGTGGTGCCTCGTTGTTAACCTGTGAAACCTGAACTCATCCTTCTGTGCCCAGTCTTTGCGTCGCCATTGATTTGAAAATCTCCCTGACTTTGCAGCCTCATCGCTGAGGACTATGTGCCGGGGGTCTGACCCATCCAGCCCCAGCTATGCATAGGGGTACCCATTTTTATATCTCCTGTGCTTAGCACAATGCCTGGCACACAGTAAGAACCCCTCAAGGCATCTCCTGAGCCAGTCTCTGAGCTGAGATAGCCACACTATCGGGTCACCATTTGCAGAGAGGCAAACGATGGCTTCTTTGTGCTCGCCTGGGACCAGGGAGAAGGATGATCAGCCCTAGCACAACTCAGCCTGCAACTCCCAGCTTTATAGTTTTTATTAACATATTTTACAACTGCCTGCTTGTATATGCTGCTCCCAAAGCTGCTGACATACCTTTAGGGAGTATGATAAACCTAAGCTAAGGTATGGAGACTGGCTAGCTTCAGGTATGATAAGGGCCACTAGAGAACACAGATAATGGGGCAATAAATCAGATGGGGCCCTTGGCCTTTGGCCAAGACACAATGAATTTGTGATTGTCTTCTGGGCAGCAGAGCCCAGCCCCAGGGAGCAGGGGCAGGAGTAACTTCAAATGCTTCCTGGCTGATGTCTGAGGAGAAAACTCATTTTTATCCCAGACTCACATCCACCTCTCTTCCTTCTTCTCTCTCTCTTCCCACCCCCAACACCCTGAATCCGGGCAAATGACAGCGCGTCTACAGGCGCCAGAGCAGAGATAACTGTGCATATGTGTGTATGTGCTGAGCTCCTAGGCCCTTGAAATAGTCTCGGGGACATTTAGGGCAATAGCTCCACCAATTCCCAGCTGGCGGGGACAGCCTGGTGAGGATGTTGCAGGAAGCGTACACCAGCCTGCAGCTCAGTACTTTCCCACTGGGTCACCTTCTGCAAGTCACCTGACTGCGCCCCAGCCTCAGTATTCCCACCTGTAAACCGGGGACACAAGTTTCTGTCCTGCCCGCCACACACAAGGGCGTGTAAGTAAGACACGCCAAGGAGAAGAACTGCCTTTGCAAGCGACTCCTCGGACTGTCATTAACTAGCCAGCAGCCGGGGAGCAGGCGGACCGGTGCCAATGACATCTCTGCTTCAGTTTCTATCAGTACATGAAACTTTCCAGGTCACAGACGAAGAGTCTGTGGGGCTTTGACAGTGAATGCTGGGGAGAGGGTGGTTGTTGGGGGGTGAAGGGAACCCAGAGAGGCGGGGCGCAGTCACAGGGTGGACGCTGGTCTCCAGCTCTCCATCGGGACAAGCGGGAAGCCCGGGGCCAGGGCGCCCCGCACGGCTGACGCCCTGGGCAGTGGGCGGAGGCCTACCTTGCCGTACTTCTTCAGCTTCTGCCGGTACCTCCTCTTGGGCTTGTCGCCCGGCGCCGGCTCCTCCAGCGGCTCGTAGCGCTCAGGGAGGACGGCCAGGTGCACCCGCCGCGCGCTCCGGGCCTCCGGGCGCTCCGCGCTCGCCGCGCTCTCGGCCACCTCGTCTTCCAGCTCCAGGATCGCGGTGGTGTCCTCGTCCCCCTGCCCCCGGGGCCCGCGGCGCGGGAGGCTGCTCGCCGCCTTGCTCCGGAGCCTGGCTGCCACCGTCATGACGCCGCGGCCGGTTAGGAGAAGTTGGGGTGCGAAGGCACCAAACAACCTTTGCTCCCCGCCCGCGGCACCGCCCCAGCCCGGACGGGGCCGGGGACTTGAGGTCGCAGCGCCCTCTGGCCGTGGGGCCCGGGATTGCGGCGGCGCCACCGGAGCCTGGCCTCCGGGTGACCAACAATCAGGCTCAGCCCTACCCGCCTGCGCCCCCTACCTGTGAGCCAAAGGGACACCCCGGCAGGGCAATGCACTATGAACTTCTAAACCATGTTCAGCCACATTGGCCACGACATAAATGAACCCCAAGTGATGAGGCTTCTTTTGCCCACGTGCAAACTGGCCGCGATGATGATGACGATGGTAAAGATTATACTCAATGCTGCTAAAGGCGTGGCGAGATGGTCGTGACAATACAGTATTCATGGGGTGCAAACTGGTGACCAGCTTCCAGAAAACAGTTATGAAGAGCCCTGTAAAACGGCCATACTTTTCCAGGCGCCTCTGCTAAGGAAATATGCAGAAAGGCACAGCACTGTGTCCACTCCAGGGAAAGAATGGAACGGACCCAGGCGGTGGGGCCGCTAAATTCTGGCAGCTGCGCATTCTCAGCGCCGGGGAGGGCGCCGCTGTGCAGGAGGCCTGATTTCGTCCGTGGGCAAAAATCTTAGACCTCCTGGGAATTTAGAGTTCAGCATACAATAATAGGGGTTATTTCTTCATTACCGCTTAAATATTAATAAAATGTGGGATACATTTAAGAGTGATTGGTATATTGCTATAAATACGCGAAACATAATTTGGCATATTAGAATATTGAAATCTAGTTTTGTGACTGCAAGTTAAAATGTGTAATCAAGTAATTAGTAAGTTAAATGGAAAGAAATACAAAAGTGTTTAAATTACTGTATGTATAAGAATTAGTCTTGTACATAGTTGAAGTACTTGAAAAGAAAATCAAATATATTGTTTATAAAAGTCACTTAAATGTTTAAGATAATGAAATTAAGTGAATGGTAACAGCCCCTTGTAGTGACTGTTATACTTTGTTAGATTTGTAAATACAATAATATAATACACAAGTTGAATTTCAAAGGTTACTGGAAGTTACATTTGTAGATTTGTGACTTTACTAAAGTAACTATTAATTTATAAACTAAAGCCAACCCTAATGGTCCCTTTTCTGTGCACTAAATGTGACATTCTGATCCCCCTGAAAGCACTCGTGACTACCAATAACGGAAACAATCGAATCCATGAAAAGCCATGGGTTCCTCCCAGTATTCTAAGGGAAATAAGTATGTGATATAAAAATAACATGGTTATAAAAGACTATATTATTTCCGAGTATCATTTTAATTACCTCCATGCTTTTGGGCCCTGCCAGATTTGCACCATATTAAAAAAAAATGGAGACTTCCCTCAAGTTCTAGAAAATTAATGGAAGCACTACGTTTGAATATGAAGAATACAATGGAATTACGTGCCTCTATAGCCAGATGGAAAGACATTAAAATAACCCGCACGATGACCAAAAAAAAAATAATAATAATAAAATAAAATAAAGGGAAAAATCCAGCTGAGGCCGTGAAGGACGTTAGCCTCCTACCTGTGAGGAGACAGAATGAGGTGCACTATTCCTTCAAACTAGGGAGTGCGGGCCTCGCCAACAAGCGCTTTTGGTGGGTAACAGGGTGTCTGTTTTATAGAGAGGTCCACGGGGGTTTCAATTGTTGCGGGCGGTAGGATCCAGCAATCCATCCTGGGCAGGGTTTTTCCTGCCCCCTAGTGGTTCTGTGTGGTAATAACAGGAACCAATGACGATTTCAATGTGTTCAAGCTTGTAAGAAAGAGTATGGCCTAGGAGTGGAATTGTTGGATCATATGGTAATTCTATTTTTTCTTTTTTCAGCTTTATTGAGGTACAGTTGACAAATTATAACCCATTTTAGGTGTACAACATGTTTTATATATGTATACACCACAAAAGGATTCCTACCATCAAGTTAATTAACACCTCTATCATCTCATACACTTGCATTGTTGGTGAGAACACTTAAGATCCACTCTCTTAGCAAACTGGTCACACAATACAGTATCACCAACGACAGTCCCCCTGCCGCACAGTAGACCCTCAGACCCTCTTCATCTTACATACAAAAGTGTGTACCCTTTTACCAGCCGCTTCCTATTTCCCCACCTCTCAGGCCCTGGCCGCCACCATGCCATTCTGTTTCTATGAGTTTGACTTTCTTTCTTCTTTCCTTTCCCCCTTTTTTTCCCCTCTTTTTTAAGATTTCACAGATAACTGATACCATGCAGTAGTTGGCTGTCTGGCTTATTTCTCAGCATAATGCCCTCCAGATTTATGTATATTGTCACAATGGCAAGATTTCTTTTAAGGTTGAATAATATTCCATTGCATGTATAAACACCAACACATTTTCTTCATTCATTCATGGCTGGACACTCAGCTTGCGTCCCCATCTTGACTATTGTAACACTGCAATGAATGTGGCGGTGCAGCTCTGCCTTCGAGGTGATGATTTTGTTTCCATTGGATAAGTGTACCCAGAAGTGGGATTGCTAGAGCATCTGGTAGGTCTGTTTTAATTTCTTGAGGGACCTCCATACCATTTTCTATTGTGGCTGCACCACTTGCGTTTACATTCCCACCACTAGGGAACAAGGGTTGCCTTTCTCCCCATTCTCACTAGCATTTGTTCTCTCTTCTTTTGGATGAGTCATTCTAACAGGTGCGAGGTGGTCATTCCTTGTGGTTTTGATTCACGTTTCCCTGATGATTAGTGCTGTTGAACACCTGTTCATGTACCTGTTGGCCATTTGCATGTCATCTTTGGAAAAATGGGTGTGCGAGTCCCTAGCCCATTTTTAAATTGGGTTATTTTATTTGCTATTGAGTCATGAGTTCCTTGCATATTTTGGACATGAACCTCTTTTCAGGTTTGTGGTGTGCACTATTTGCTCCCATCTATAGCCTGCCCCTTCATTTTGTTGATGTCTTCCTTTGCTGTGCAGGAAGTTTTCATTTTGGTGTAGTCCCACTTATTTATTTTGGCTTTTGTTTCCTTTGCTTTTGATGTCAAATCCAAAATATCATTGTCAAGACCAGTTTTAAGGAGCTTACCTCTGTTTGGTTTCTTCAAGAGTTTTATCGTTTCAGGTCTTAAGCTCATGTCCTTTCATCCATTTTGAGTTGAGTTGTAGGTGTGTGTATGGAATAAGATAGGGGCCTAGTTTCATGCACGTGGCTGTCCAGTTTTCCCAACACCATTTATTGAAGACACTATCCTTTCCCCCTGTGCATTCTTGTCAAAAAATTAATTGACCATAAATGAATGGGTTTATTACTGTTCTGTTCCGCTGATATGTGTGTCTGTTTTTATTCCAGTACCAGACTGTTTTGATCACTGCAGCTTTGCAACGTAGCTTGAATTCAAGGAGTATGTTGCCTCCAGCTTTGTTCTTCATTCTGAAGATTGTTTTAGCTATTCACGTCTTTTGTAGTTCCATACTTTGTTTAGAATTGTTTTTTCTATTTCTATGAAAACATGCCATTGGAATTCTGATAGAGATCGCATTGAATCATTGGGTCACTTTGGGTAGTATGGACATTTTAACAATATTAATTATTCCAATCCATGAACATGGGATATCTTTCCATTTATTTGTGCCTCCTAGTTGCCCTTCTAACCACAAATCAAGTCCAAGCCAAGGCTGCCAATCAATGCTTTACAAAATCTCCTCTTGATCAACCTATGTGAACCTTAGCAACCCATAGAATAAGTAGTTCATTTCTAACATGTATCTTACAACCATGACTAACTTCAAGACTTTTCTCACATATTCCTTCCACCTAAGGGGTCTTTTCCATTCTACCTCTTACATTTTATCCATCCTTCACATCTCTCAAAAGGCCTTTCTTTCTCATGTCCAGAAAAAACTCACCTTTCTCTGAGCTCCTGTAGAAACTATTTGTTGGTGCTTGCTTGAACACTTTTGTTGTTTCCTATTTGGGTGTGATTTTGTTGTTGTTGTTGTTGTTGTTGTTATGTGTGTTTATACTTGGTCTTCCCAAATGGACCAAAATCTTGGCAGGAGAAAAGCCATTTTTGACAATTCCTTTATGTTTCTTAAGAGGCAGTAGGTACCTCAATAGGTATTTTAAAAATTAAGGCAGAGATCACCTTGATTAATTTACATCTGCTGATGGAATCACTTATTTACAGTAAATTAGTGCCTCATTCATCACATGTTTATCTTTGTTGCCCAGACGGTACAACAACTGTTGGTGAAAGCCACTTCATAATAAGGCCTTTAGGGTTTTAAATCAAATTCTACCTTAAAAGAATATTATTGGGTCAAGCTTCTGAAACATATTTCATATTGCTTATCACATTTTAATTTCTTAAATTAATACTGTGCCCCAGTCTCTACATAATTAACTTACTATTAGTAAATTAATACTAATAGGGATGTTCTATCAAATAATATTTAAACAGAGATCCAGGACATCTTGATATCATATAGCCAGTGAACATAACTGGTATTTATTTATGTAAACATATTATAAAATTCCTTTAAATCTTCAAGAAAATTTATGTTGTTGTGAATATATAAAACCGGAAATCTAAAGTGACTTATCAAGATTTCATTTTTAGTTCATAAAAAATATCGAAGTAAATTTCCTTACCACAAACATGGAAGAGTTGATCAGAGTGAGAAAAGGTAAAAAATAATCAGTTTGTACCTTGGAAAAGGCATGATGTCTGGTTTTATAAAACCATTTCAACAATAGGAACTCCTACAAAAAAGATGAAAATTTCTTTGTCATAATGACATCCTGAAAAGTTACATAACTTCACCCCCTGCCAACTGCATTTAGAATACACAAAATAAACCCCCCATATGGAATACTTCTGTAGTAGAAAACAGGTAATGCACATTCTGATAAAGAGCAAAAGACAAGTGCTTTATTATGAGAACTGTTCAAGTAAAATTTCAGTGTGCACCAGTGAAAGTGAAATTTGCATCAATTTTTGGGGATGGACACTAGGTTAAAAAGGGGCTTACACAGTTGTTGTTTTCCAAACACCACCCTTTGCTAAGGCAAAACTACACTTCATTTTTGAACAGAACTGGTACAGAAGAGAGCTATAGCACAGTACAGTACAGAGGGCAAAATCCATCCTAGTCTGGACGCCATGGGGAATGGCACATCACCTACGCCGAGCGCGTTCCAATGGAGGTTGGAATTACAGGATTTATCACAGCTTTAGTTGTCTTTAAACGGCTAAAATTTGAATACACTTTCTATTTCTCAGGAGTGTGCAGATGGGGCCCATATGTAGATATTACAGTAAGTACGACATTAAGTAACATTGCACAGCCAACTTCCAAGGCTAATTCAGTATAAAATACCAAGTATTAAAATGTACCTTTACTAGTGGTTTTACATCGCAAAGAGCACTAATTCTGAAAGAAAGGCAGGCAAATGCCCGATTACAAAGCTGCACGTTATAGGCATAACGATGGGGAATAAATACAAGAGATCTGGCAAAATAGTAAAAACAAAGAGGTTGCAGGGGAACAAATGGAACAACCACATAAGCGTTAGTCAATCATCTACTGTTATAAATAGTATGTTTTACTCCAAAGTCTCTCTTAAGTACTCACAGATATTACTGGGTCGGGGGCAGATGAAGAGGACACGAGGAGAAAGAGGAGAACCTCCCCAAGGCCAGTTAATTCCTGAGGTGGCGTGATTTCTTAACTGATGTATTGATCAACACTGTCGAGATGAGTGTGTGCTATGAAAGAGTCCCAACATTGTTATATTCCCACAATGACACTGCCGTATTGGGAAGGCAGCGAACAGAAGTGACAGTTTACATTGTCACAGGCCAAAGAGAAGACTGATTCTTTTTTTATTTTGCTGCTATGATTAGCAGTGGGTCAGAAAACACTTTCAAGTTCAAAAGAAGTTGGATGTAGGTTTCACTCCCCCTCAGTGCTTTTTAGCTGGCTCAAGGCAAAGCTGTAGTTGATTTTCACCGTTATGTTCTTTTAAAAACTCTGAAGTGCCAACACTGTAAACATTGTGTGTCTTCTCAGCTAAAACCTTGTCTGGTAACAAGGGTAAGAGCAAAGTTAAGCAGAAATAATTCTGTGTATAATACAGCTGATCTATTTATCAGCTTCCGGTTTCAATTTAAATATGATCTGAAAATAAATTCTAGAAGTCCATGCTACAATCATAAAGACCATTTCTGTGCACTTTTAATTCTGGACACAATTTTCAAAATTGCATGATGGAGGTAAGAATTTAAAAAACCCACCTGAATGTAAATAACAGGGAAGAATATTTTCAACTCAAAGCCTCAAACGTACATTTATGTGCAGAAATCTAGACAACTATACAAGTTTTTAAGCAATCATCTGTTTTATTATACAACTCTATGAACAGAAAATGAACAGAAATACACAATATACTTACCTGTACATGTGAACCTACTTTTTTTAGCTACAGATATTTATGATAGTTCATAGTGACTTTAATTTTACAGTTCATAACTATGTATAACCTTATTGCATTAAGGGCAAATTCTACATGGGGGGATTCACAGGTGAATGACATTGGGCATTCCCAGTACATTCAAAAACTGTACCTCATGTGGATGTATCTTCCCTGATCCTGCGAGTTGGAGTTTCTTTACAGTTTGAGCTCATTTGCTATTTTAGATGCAATGTTCTTAAAGGCAATGGACGTCCCTGATATTCGCTTGAAGCGGACCCCGTTCAGGGACAGCCGCGGCAGTTTGCACACCTCCATCTCCCACTGCACGAGGCTGTCCTGTCGGGCATCTCCGTGGACGCAGAAGAGTAAAAACCTCTCTTTCTGTTCATAGTCACAGTTGTTGGCATCCAGCACTTTGCGGATCTCTCGCATCATGTCATTGGGGTCCATGGAGCTAGTGGTCTTCATGCTCCAGGTGAACCGCAAAGAGCGTGGCTTGGAGTCTTTACTCTCTTCCTTGTCTCTGTCTTTTGGTTCCCCCGATGTGCTTCTGGAAGGACAGGGCAGAGGGAAGGAATGCAAACAAAAGTTCCATTTAGCAAAGAAATTGAGACACATGCGAACTCTCAGCGGTCACAAGGCAGCACTTAAACAACATCCTAACTGGAGGACTACCTTCAGGTAGATACAAAGCTTTGTGCGTCTTGCTATTAAAAAGCAGACGCTAGGGTGCCATCTGTTTTGACTTTCATAAATAAAATCTTCTTTCTAAAATAGCATTTTCTTAAATGTGTTTGCTGGTGGGAAACAAATTTGCAGCCATTAAGTGAAGAACTTAATACTTCTTCAGGCCCTTTTGTATTTTTCTGTTTAAGTTTGCAAAAGTGGACTCTCCATTTTCTGTACATTTGTACAAAAAATAGCCTACTAGCATTCTGCTTGTAAATACACAATTTTGAAGTAGAAAGAAAAATTTTCCTTTTTCTATCTTTATTTTTGGGTAGGAAAAGGACCGGGGACAGGATAGCAGTAATTGCTACGAAGAGGTTATTTCTACCTGGCGACGTCAAAAACCAAATGTTGTACTGCAACGAGGTAAATACATGAGGCCGTGCCACACACAGGAGTGTGGACGTCGGTCCTCTAATGGGGTCAATGTTCTGCTGAAGACATCCTTAAAATGGCCTACAAGGCTCCCCGTGACCTACGCCCCAGCTCCGACCCCAACCCCTCTCTGCCTGTGACTGTACTGCTTGCTCGCTCCCATGGACACACTGGCCCCCGCGCTGTTCCTCGAAACTACAGGGTCTGGTCTGGCTCCGTCTTCCGCCGGAGCAGGTGATTGACACCTATTTCTTAATGCACCAACCCTGTTGAGTTTTCCTTAATACAGAACTCCCATTAATACTACAGAACCAGAAAACCTATTGCACATAATCAAATAAAGGTAAAATTAATAGATTTTATGATTCAGAAGACCCTGTAATTAAATTTAATGAGCAATTATTCAAATACAGATGTTATAATTTTAACTTGTTAACCCGTCTCACGTACATGTGATTTAATGAAATGATATACTTGGAAAGGAGTTTATAACTTACTATAAGTCTATATTTTAAATATTTTCTATCAATATTATCCTATAATGTATATTCAGGCATATATTTATATGTGAATTTTCATGGGTACGGGTTTATTTGTTTTCCCCCCTCATTCCTAGGAATCTGAGCCCCCAAAGCCCTACAAACTATGCAAGCCTGAAAAAAATGAGGAAAGAAAGAAGTAGAGAAAGTAAATTTCCAAAGACTATCAGCTGACTGGAGAGTATTTACTCTGGCGTCTTCTCTCTCATTCTTTCTGCTCGGCGTCTTCTCTCTCATTCTCTTTTTGCTCGCTGACTCTAAGCCAGGCCTTGGGTGTGCAAGTCTAGCCGGAGTCTCTTCTCAGGACCTGGGCCCAATGCTATCACAGCGTCAGCACGCGAGGGCCGGAAGGGACCAAGAGGCCACCTGATCCAACGCTCACTTTAAAAACAGAACTGATGGCTAGGAAATGTAAGTTACTCGTCTGTGGTCAGATGGCTAATGAATGAAAAGAAAGACTAGAAATCAGGCGTCCTATTCTAAGTCTCATTGTCCTTGTATTCTACCAAAGAAACCTGGTGACCGCAGACAACAGGCACATCCAAGATGTTTTTGTACCTACAGCTCAGAGGCACCGCCAACGGTACCACTGACTGCAGAGAGCTCCCAGAAATGCCGATGCAAATGACAGCATCTAACATTTACTGGGCACTTGCTTGCTGCTGGGAACTGCTCCGAGTGCCTACCATGCACCGCTTCCTCGTTCGCCTCTTGCAACGCCCTGGGGGCGTCAGCATGCGGAACTGGGGGCACAGGAGCTGGTGCTGCTCGCCACCCTGCCCGCCATCTCGCTGTGGTGACAGGACCTCATTAGAACTGGCCTGGTGCCTCCTGTGCACCTCACTGCTTTGCCTGTAAAGTGGGCTCCTCTTCCCCTGGTGGTTGTGTGGGTTAAAGGACGGGCAAGGACCTTACAGATGGGAGGGAGTCCGTAAGTTTGTTCAAAAGCAAAAAAAAGAAAAAAGCCCAACAGGGACCACACTGAAAGGCCATGTAGTCACATTAAAAGGATAAGATGCAGGCAGATGAACTGCAATCTTAGCAGCCACTTGTGACACTCTACACCGCTAAATGTCACAGAGGGAAATTTAGTAAAAAGAGAGGAGGAGACCCGAGAAGGGGGACTGAAAGTGAAGACTAAGCGAGGGAGGGGCTGACCGCAGAGGCCCTTCATGTTTATTTCACAGGCAGAAATGAGCTCAAAATATTTGTCCTGCCTGCCTTTTGGCCCCCTTCCATGGTGTGACTCGGGCACCCAGCTCAACACAGAAACGTTTCAGCCATTGCGACTAAACATCAACACAGCACAGTCTGTGAAGAGGCCTTCATGGGAACGCCTCACCCGAAGCTCACAATGTTTTGTATTTCAAGTGATGTTAAAAAGTAGGAATTAAATTCGGGTTTGTGTTCAGTTGGTCAAAAATAGTTCCCAGAGGAAGCCAGGGCATCTGTCCACTCAAAATCATTTAATGCCTTTGTTTCTTAAATTTCCCCTTTATAAATACGAACACAAGCAGTAACATGTTATTAACATGGTCCCAGGCCGTCCCTTCCAAACCCTGGGGGGTGGGGCCCAGCCATGTGTTTTATCAAGTTCCGGCTGTGCTCAGGATTGAGACCATCGCTAGATCAAATACTCAACTGGTATTCAACATCAAAAACCCCATAAATACAGCAGGGTGAGCTTTTCCAAATGTGGTCCGCCACTGAATACTCACCGAAAATATATTATCAATATCCAATCTTCCTATGTACTTGGGTACCTCAGTATTGTGGGTTAAGACTAATTTTAGTTACATGGTTTTAGTGCAAAAAGGATCAATACATTTTAATCTATTTATTCTTTTGCCAACACATCTATTATAGGACAGAACGGCTATTTCTCTACAAAGCATACAATTCAAAATAATGTTTAGAAAGCACAAACTTTACAGTTAATTAACTTACACGAAATTCAATGCTAGGCAACATTAGGAACACCCATCCCAATAGAGAAACTTAAAATACACATACGAGCTAGTTATTAGCTCCATTCATGTTTACTAAGTGCTGTCAGTATTTCAAAGCACGTTTGCGTACACAGGGACCCTGCCGCGAAGTATGGATAGTGGCTCCTCACCTTGAGGTGTCTGTTCTGCCACTGGCCTCGCCTTCACTTGGATCCCTCAAAACAAAGTGAAGGTTGAGATTTAATGATAAGAGTGAAAAATGTATCAAGAAAGCCTACATCTAAATTGATTTGAAAATGAACTTGAGCAAATGTCTAGCGTGACAGTTTTCTGTTACTAGTCAGACTAATACTACATCTCACGTTTTTTAACACAGCCACATTTAACTGTCACTTATTGAGCGTCTACTGGGTATTGTCACTGAAGAGATGCCAGGTGACAGGTTAGGACTTTTTTTTTTACGTGATCTTCCAATTCTCAGACATGATTTTCACATTATAGTTTATCTTTTGGTTTAATTTAGTTCAATCTACAGTTAAAGCTATTTAATAATTATCAATAGCAAGATTCACCTTCATGGTTATTATGAAACAGAATTCTAGTAGTCGCTCAATTTAGAAAACATATACATTAACCTTGTAGTTAGAAATAAAGCTCAACACATAAGTATTTCTAAAAATAAATACCAGTTTTTAAATAAGCAATTAACTTATTTCAGAAATTAAGCCAATGATTCATGCACATGATAAAATATTACAGCAAACAAACAGCCTATCCAAGCAGGTGAGTCTAAAAACATGAACTCAGTCTTAAGCAGAAACATTGAGCTTACCTGGATATCCACCTGTGAAATAAAACCAGAAAACTCTACTAACTGTCCTCTTTTTCACATGTGATTAACATTTTTAAAGTGTACCCAAATTTTAACTATTTTATCATTTTAAAAGGTAATTAAATATCAACATAGGAGTATCAAGTTATAAACCAGTTTAAATACATGAAGAGATGGCTTGTGATAGCAAAATACTAAGGAATAGCTGGGAAAAATGACCAACTTGAACCTTTAAGTTAATAGTAACGTTTTAACCATCCCTGAAGCATGTTATGTAAAATGACTGCAATAGAGAAAGTCAGTACCCTCTTCCTCACTCTCGACGTTTATAAAACACGCCCCTCCATCAAGCTCTAAAGCTCTACGTGGTGGTTAAATACGTGTCTTTTGAAAATAAATAAATAAATAAATAAATGAATTCTTATAAGCTATGACTGTCTTTTTGCTTCTCTGGGTCTTTACCTACAGGCCTTTCTTGACAAACACATACTGTGTGAAAATCGTTTTCCTGCCTGAATTAGAAAGGATAATAGATGTATTCTCACATTCAAATATGGTTTCTTAAGTTTCCCTTTTTAGTCACTGGCACTTTGGAGAAATAGAAGAAAAATTCAAATTCACCTACACAAATCTATTTTTATGGCAGTGCACTGACATAAATAAGACATGTTTTAAGCGGGCGCCATGTGACATGTCCGAGTTCGATACCTACAGAAGGGGCCGTCCATGGACTTGGAAGAGTTGCGCCATTGATTTGTGCTCTGAAGATACAACTCCTTTAATTGGAAGGGGCCTACGTCTCACTGGGCTCTTGTCCTATTTCTATTTTGCCTGATAAATCGCTGTGAACAGAACCCGATCCCACTGCTGCGGGACGTCCCCTGCTATGGCTGTGGCCATAGCAACTGCCCCGCCACAGCGTTCCCCATACCACGTTCCTGCCTTTCCTGGATGCCACCAGGAACAGTGACTGGAAGAGCTTCTGCCCCTTGACAATGATTTCAAAGGGTCCAGAAGGGCAGCTGTACAAAGCCACAGGAGGAGGCGGCTGGGGAGGCAGAGAGCAAGGCGGGCTCTGTGTCAGCAGGTGCAGCGCCACACAGCTCTCGACACCTAATGCTTAAAAAAACCAAAGATTGTCTACAGAGCAACAAAGGATCAAATAATCAATCTGCTTATTCCCTATATAAAAGTGAGCTATGGTTAAAAAAAATCATCAGGTTTGATGTAATCTCCAGCCTGCAGAGTAGTTATAGAGAACCTACCCAAAGCAAATGGGCCTAATGGCTAATGTTTATTTTTTCATTTTTTTTTACTGTTCAAATGGCTATTTAAAAGATTTTGTAAATAATACATCTACAACCTCCCTTGATAGAGGATTCTAGAGTAAACTGCTTTCCTAAGACCAGAAAACAATTCTCTCATGGGGTCATGTTAGCGAATGGTCTTTTTACTGGCCAAGAAGAACAACTGCCTGCCTCCTTCTTTGTAATAACAGTTTCCAAGTATGTGAATGATGAACTCGCAATTATTCTTTATCCTTCCCTGCCTAAAGTTTGGCAACCCAAATTCCTTTACTTTTTTTCCCCTAATAAAAACCCTACTTCTTCTATATCACTTAGTGGTATACCCACTTGGTTGGTCCTAAAGTTTGTGAGGTATCTTGCACTCCAAGTCAGCCCTGCCCCCGAACACATCCCTGTTCTGGTCACAGAAGGCTGTCAGCCTGTAGGTTCCCCTTCTTCAGGCCTTTGGCACAGCGAAGTGAGAAAGGCAGAAGGAACAGAAACAAACAGGGCTCGAGCCCATGATGGACTTGAGAAGACAAGGCAAGTGGGAAGAACAGATAACCTGAGAGATGAGTTGAGAATATTGAATAGTAAGGCTAGACTATATCCTGAACCTTGAGAAATTCTCTAGTTTCTAACCTCCCAGACTCCAACCCCCCGCCCCTAAAGTTTAATATGCTGTGCATGCAGAAAGAACAGCTGGATGTCCACTTGGTCACTTGCTACAGGATGTAGCAGGTTCATTCCTGGGACTGAAACCAATGCTTTGCTTGTCTTCCTGCATTAAGTCACTTGTGGTAGATTACACAGCCCAATCTCAAGCTACAAAATGCAACCTCAGGGCAGACCATATGCACTGCAGTGAACACAAACAAATTTGCAAAGCCAAAACTGTTCACATGGGACAGGGAACCTTGGAGGGGAATTGAGAATTTTTCCTCTTCTCTAACCAAATGCAGAATTGATTGAAATGTGTTACAAATCAAGACACTGAAAAACCCTACCAAACTTCTGACAAAGGATCACAAACAACCTCCTCCCCTCCCTTATTCTCCCCCTCGGCCCCAAAATTTCTACTAAATGACAACACTGAACATTTAAGAGCCCTGTGGAACTTCAGAAACTTTCAGGCTCACATCACAGGGGGCTCTGAACACCTTCATTCCCTCAACCTCACTCTATTTCAGAACCTGATTCCTTTAAGCATTTACCAGAATTTATTATGACTTCATGATCTTATTTTTTCATTTGCTTTTTAAATTGCCTTTCACTCTATTCAACCATTCATTCAATAATGTTTATAGGATGCCACATTATGTGTCACGGTAGGCACTGAATGTGCAGCAGGAGGTTCAGCATAAAGCGAAGCCAACAAAGTCCCTGTTCTCATGGAGCTCACCTTCTAGCTGGGAGAGAGAGAGAATGAATGAATAAATAAAGTGCATCTATTCCTTCAGGGAGCGTCAGTGCTACGGAGAGGAATAAAACAGGGAACAGCGGCAGCACTGGGAGGAAGAGGCTGTGATTTTGACCAGGGAGTGTGGGGAAGGTCTCAATGGGGAAGGGCCATTGCAGCAAGGACCTGAGCGGGGTGTAGAAGCAGCCAGCCCTGCAGGTATCGGGGGAAGAGGACTGCAGGGAGGGGCAACAGGTGTGCTCGAGGACAGCCAGGCGCCCTCGTGGCTGGCGTGGACTTAGCACGCAAAGAGTGGGTGCAGATGAGAGGTCCGAGCGAAAAAGAGCAGCATGACTCAGTAGAGGCTCAGAGGCCGCCATCAGGGCTTTGCGTTCATGTATCTGAGCAACGTGAAAGCAAGCGGAGGCTTTCACTCACGGACTTACGTTGTTGAAAACAGAATAGAGGATGAGGGCTAAGGCCTGTTAGGAGGCGGAAGGTTAAAATTCTGGAAATACTGTGAAGGCAGAGCCAACACCACCTGCTCATGGAGTTGCTGTGTGTTGAAACATGGAGTCAAGGCCAAGTCAAGGTTCACGTCTGAGCAAGAGAAAGGATGGCGTTGCCATCTCCTACCACGTGGGACAAGGAGGAGGGGCACCCTTGGGGAGGAGGAGAGGCAGGTTTTTTTGGACAAGTTCTGTTTGAGAGTCCATTACAGATCCAAGTGGAGACGCCAAGTAGCCAACTGGGTACGTGGGTCTGTACTTCAGAGGAGAGATCTGGGCTAAAGACACAGATTCGGGAGTTGGTCACGGGAGACGGAATTCAGTGCCATGGGCTTGATATGGGGTCACCAAGAGAGTGAGGATGACAGAGAAGACAATGTGTCCAAAGACTATGCCCTGATAGTAGAGGTCAAGAGGAAAGGCAAGGGGTCCTGACAAAAACCCGCAAAGGAGCCTGGGAAGGGGCAGCTTGTTTGAGAGGCAGGAGGAAAACCAGAGCCAAGGGAGAAAAATGTTTCCATGGTGTGGAATGTTGTGAGACAGCAAGTTGCTCACAGGAAGGGAGGGGCCACGTCAATCTCTCTCACTGCTGATCAAGAGCACCTAGAGGGCTGGGCACGCAGTAGGTCTTCACCTATCTGTGACGTGGCTATATGGCGATCCTTTATCCTAACCTCCCAGCAGGCTCTCTCTGAGCACTTTCGTGCCCTGACATTGTCCTGATTTCTTGTCCACTGCTCCTTACTGCCTTCTCTCTGGAATCCACATTTTTATTGCCAAGTAAAAGAGAAATATTTCTCACAATGCTCAATGTACTATTAGGATTCAAGCATTAAACTCAGAATCTATTTTATCTTCACCTCACAATTAATCAGGGCTTAGCCATGAGAAAGCACCAGATTTTCAAAAATGTCTTTTAAACAGCCAAGTAGCCAAATCCCGACAGCAGAAATGGCTGATGACCCCCTGGTGCCCCGCAGACGGTCAGCCCGCACACCTGCCGGTCATGCCGACCCTGTCGGGGAGCTCCTGGGTCTCTATCTACCAAGCTGCCATACTGCATGGTGATGGCCCAAATGGTCCAAAATCATTGACGGTTCTGGTTAGAAACAGATGTTGCATTTGAGCGTTTAAATTTTTCAATTAGGCTGTGTGATCCTGGGCCCATCAATCCATAAAACTGAGGCCATAAGGCTCCACGAAAAGGTACGAGACTAAAGCTGCTTCTTCTCTTCGCGCCCCCGTTCACTGAAACCCTTATGAATACTAATAACAGTAAGGACTAAGCAGTTAATTAATATTTTTGAAAGCATGTGTAGTAATTTCACACCCATAATTCCTTGCTACCCAGCCTGGGGCCTGCACGTTCTCCCTCGGCAGAAACAGCGTGACTTTCTCCAGGCGCCCCAGCAAGGCGCCCACACCCCCGTTTCAGACACACTCTGCTTTACACGGCGGCTCGTTGTTTGCAGGCCTTTTTCCCAGGACTCAGAATCTGGGGGCACAAATGCTGTCTTGCTTATGGCTGGGCACGAGCCCAGCGCTTTGCACACACGGGATGTCAGGAGGTATTTCGTAGGGGCGAATAACAGGTCACGCTTACATCAGCCCGCGTTGTGTTAGCACCCTGTGTAATCTATGGGCATTGCACATGTGCACTCGCTTTTTGGAAAAGGGCACAATTTTACTGTTTTATTAGAAGTTTGCTCTTCATCTTGTGTTGACTGTGTTCTGCGGTTCAGATGTTATGATGTTAAATTTTATAAGTAATCTATGCAGTTGTAGTTTATTGACTTTTACAGGGAAGGAAAAAAAGGGAAACTGTTATTAGTGAGGAATTTCAAAGTATTCCAAAGATAAGAAATATTTAAAGGATAAATGTGAACTAATTCCTTTATCTAAATCAAGGCTTTGAAGTCGGGGAGAGCCTTTTTGTTAAAAAACATTTTCGATGTTAAGTTTTGCCCTTTCCACTCTAGAAAAATTTTAATTTCTCATTTTGTCCATCTTCCTCAAACGTCTGTAAAACAGCAGTTCTAACAAAATGCCATGAAACCCTCCTGGAAAATGGCTACCCAGATGAAATAACCGCACACACTCATTTCCTCGGTAACCCCTGAGGCCCGGGGCCGCGCGGTGGTACTGACCTGCGGACGAACCTGGAGGTAATCTTGCTGATGATGCCCGTGGACGTGCCCCGCCGGGCGTGCGCAAAGGCCCCCGTCTCGTGCGACGGTGAGGCGGGTGGCCCGGCGTAGGCGGCGCTGCGCCGCTCCCGGAGCTGCTCCCCGTGGAAGGTGCTTCGGCTCGAGCTGCCCCGCGGGAAGCGGGTCCGGTCCGGGGTGGTGGCGCTAATACTGTGGGCAGATGGGGAAGCAGCAGGCACTCTCTGGGTGGTCCTGTGGGACAGGTCACCATACACGATTCAGAATAACGACAGACTCCTACGCTAGACAAATTCGCTAGGGCCACTTTTTTTTTTAAGGCAGTAAGACTTTTTATTTCTATGTCTTTTTTAAAAATTAAATTTATTGGAGTGACATTGGTAATAATGTTATATATGTTTCAAGTGTACAATCCTATAATGTACCACCTGTACTTTGCACCATGTGCGGAGCTATGGCTGCTTTGATTCGGCCCATCCTACCTGTTCCTACCAGACCGGCGGTGCCGGGGTTAACGGGACTTGTATCATCATATGCAGAGGGATAAAATTTCAGTTTGAAACTAAATGCCTTTTACAAAAATTTAGCTACTAAAGACTAAGATATTGCTGACACAGGGATACAAAGAGTAATACTCTTCAATATCAGAAGTGCCAAACCTGGGGGGGAATGCATATATTGTTTTCTTTTTCTTTTTTTAATATTATCTTAACCTAAGCCAATCAGCAACACGGAACATGAATTTAATTTGAATCGCATCATTTCCTACCTACACTTCAGGCTTCAGTAATAGCCTCAGGTCCACGACACCTCCCATGTGACAAACAAGCCTGACTATCAAAGGTGTTGCCTGGTTTGAGAAATCCTAATGAAGACAAATACTAGGAAAGTAGTCCCATCATTTTATACCGGGAAGGGCTCTTTGAGGTCATTGGTTTCACTGACAGGGCAAGTCAAAGGCCAGTTTTATGAAGAAGGAGCGGCCGGCGGGCACCAGGCTACTCAGGCTACTACCCAGAGGTCTCAAGTCCCACGTCTTAGGATGTTTTTGTTTTTAAATCATAAAAGACTCACTTTACCTAAGTGATCAATTAGGCAGCCATGCTTTACTTCTCAGAATGGATTTAAAATCCTCTAAGAAAATGCCTCTAGAAAAGGATCTAAAGGATAGGCAGTACTCTTGAAGAGTAGGGGACGTGGTGAGTTTCAGTTACAATTCTGCTGTTCACATCTTTGTCTTTGCACAGTGCTGTTCATGTCACGGTGCCTATCATGGTTTTTCACGTGGTGTCACACTGTTAAAAACTCTTCAACTGACAAAATGAAACGCCATCAGCACGTTACCCGGGTCGGTAAGCTTCAGAGCCGTCTTTAATGGTTGGCAGTGTGACTTTGATAGGGTGACCAGAAGCGGACATGGACTTCTGGTGGCGAGGTCGCGCAGAGGGGACGCCAGAGGCCACAGCAGAGCCCGCAGAAGATATGCTACTGGCCGACATCTCCGTGAGGCTTTGGGCATAAAGCAGAAATGTACAGAAGAAGGAAAACCGCAGTTCACCAACATTTAATAACTAGATATGTCAAAGTAAATGGGTGAATATCTTTCCTAACTAAAAGACTTAAAAGAAAGGAACAGTGGCATTATTAGTGACTGACAAGTCAAAATTCTTGTGAAAGACGTGCAGGGTGACTTCCCTGCCACCTTCCATGGGAAGGATCCACCCACTCCCGCCCTCTCCATAGAGGCGGCACGAAATGATTTTTATGAATAAAATGATTTTCACTGGGGACGATTTTCACTTGCCCAAACTCACAGTTTGGTGTGTAATTCATCACGACAGTACACACGCTATTGCTGGAAGTATCATTAAAATACCTTTAGCTACTATCATGAGTCAGTGGGTTAACTGTTGTGGATGAAAGGAACTCCCCAGTCAGGGCTTAGTACAGGAAAAATAGTCAGAAATCAATCCCCAACTATATTTTTAGTCTAGAGGATCTTATATCCAAGGAAGCTATCTTTCTATGGCTTACAATTAATAGACACTTACTTCACTGCAGTTTAGTGTCTATTAATTGAGAGGAAACAAATGGAAACAAACGTAAGGACGGACTGTCCTGCCTACTGAAATGACTCGGATGAAACGAAGTGCAGAATTCTGTTAGAGTCGTCCCCCTGCCCTTTCGTACGACGTTATGAACAGTTCTGCGTTGTAACTCATGATGCACAGGTCAATTTTTTAAATAATAAAAATGACGTGGCTGATCGTTATTTAAAATAAAACACTGGGAGGACTGTCCTGACCTCAACGACCAGCTGGGAGGGCCATGCGTCTTCGGGGGAAGGCGAGAGCGGCGGGTGCGTGGAGAGAGAGACCCGAATGATGGCGACGCAACGAGGCCGGGACGACCTGCTTCGTCCCGTGCAAATGGCCAATAATTTTAGGAAAGATTTCATACGGAAGGTCTCAGGTGAAGAGATTTGCCTCCTGTTTTCCCGACATACTCCCCCACCCTTCCCCTCGCGCACAGAAGGCAAGACCCCCCAGTCTGGACCGTCGGCTGCGACCTGACGGTCCTGTATGTCCCTTCTTCTCGACCCATCAGCACGGGGCTGCTGGCGAGAGCGCGAACGTGGGACCGTCACACAGGAGAGTCACCAGGCACTGTGACGTTTACCTGCTGTCTTTCCCGTTCTGCAGGGCTGTGTATCGGTCTGTGGTCCTTTCGCAGACATATGTATTCCTCCTTGCCATGCTGCCTCCAGCATACACGTTGTTCTTTGAGGAGGAAAGAAAAGGCCTTTTAAAATTTCAACTGCAGTTGTGGAAAGTCAAAGAAATAAACGGGAGCTGCAAGTGACTGAAAAAAACACATGGTCAATTTTAATTGACCAGAATCTTGCACGAATGAGCTCTGTGTCGCCTCTCTCTCTCTCCCCACCCCTCCCTCTGCAGTAGGCTGCAGGAGTAAAAGGCAGAGCCCACAAGGTCATTATCGTTTCAGCTCCCTGTCCTACAGCAGCGGCAGGCAGCTGTTTGGAAGCAACCAGAAAGCTGGGGTGTCACTCTCCTCTCTGTCAGCTGGGGGTGGGGACAGGGCAATAGAGCGGTACAGGCAGCTCTATGGGAGTAGGAGTGAGAGACCGGTCCATGTAAATATTAGCAGAGACCGGACCCCCGTGGCAGTGAAGGGGGTGGGCCAGCCAAGGGCAAGGCCAAGGAGAATAAAGCGCAAGGTCAAAGGCATGAAGCCACCAAGGGAGGGACATGGAGCGCCACTCTGAGAACATTTCCTCATTTCAGGTTTGGGCCGGGAGAGGCAGGCCAGGTCTGAGAAGCTCAGAGAAAAAAAGAAAGATTAAGTGAAAAGGGGCAGATTCTCCTTCCAGTGGGTGGTCAGACCCTCCTTACCACACACAGCAACCCGGCCATGCCCTTGACCTGTGACTAGCACTAAACTGCACAGGAACGATTTTCAAAAGGGCGAATGCTCTTCTGTTTAATCCTTACTCCCGCAGACAAAAATTTCCCTATTTTCCCCCTAATCCAGTTTTCCCGATTCTTTAAAAATAGTCATTAGTTTAAAATGTGTTTAATCATGGGGTGTAGAAAGTTAACAGAGATATCACAGAAGATATATATGATATCTCTATTAACTTTTATATTTGCTCTTTTATATTTTCGGTCTCTTTATTCTTTCCTGCTGCCCCAACTCCCATTACATAATTTCTAGAGTTTGCTGTTTTAAGTGAATAATGTGAACTCTATTTATAAAGTAATTATTAACAGAGTCTGCCTTCATTGAACACCTCATTTGAAAACATAAAATTACATGCACCAATATAATATTAAGTAACTACTACAGAGAAAAGTTTAACATACCATTCTGTGGTGAGGTTCAGAGCAATTTAAAGACTTCATATTGTATTTTTTTTTTTTTTTGTTCTTAAGCTGCATTTTGAGAGGGATGATCCTTTTTGCATGTTCTTTACATGCATGATTCACTTTAAAATTTTGCAACACTTAAAAAAAATCTTTAGACAAAAATCCTGAGAACGGATAAGCACCACAAACTGCAGGAGACCAGGCCAGGCACTCACACTTGGAACAGCGGAGGGCTTCTTCCTCTCCGGCCCCACGAGAGGGCTGGCGGCCATTTCGCTCTTCGAGCCGACCGTCGCACTGCCAAGCTTACGCACGGCCACGTCTTTGTCCCACTCCTCCTTCTGGTCACTTTCCACGCTGTTGGCCTGAGGCCTCTTCGTATAGGATACGGCAGGGGGAATGGATGGACCAGCTAACATAAAAAAGATAATAAAAATAAAAGAAGCCTAATTAGCTACAAAACAATGGACATGTTTTCTTACGAACAAAAACTCTGTATTAAAAATATCTTTATTTGCACATTTTACACTCTGAAGTAAGCTGAAGGTGTTTCATGACAAAAATTAGGTCAGTCCCTGAAAAAGGGATGCTATTTGTCATTCAAGAATAGCAGCTGTGGTGACTGGGATGACACAGGCACACGAGGCGTGAGCGCATGATGTTTAAAGAACACGAGCGTGGGTGGAATCGGTCTGTGTGTTCACGTATTTGACGTGTCCCCCACCATGATCACTAAAACGCCGCTGCTTCTGGTTGGCCGAGATGCTCCTCTGGACCTTCAGGTGAGCGGGGGACTGCAGGGTGCTGTTGTTTAAGTCACTACTGGGCCGCGACCTCTGACTCAAGTTTCCACTGGATAATGACTCACCGCCTTCGAACTATAAGGAGAAGAGAGACCACCAGGGTTTCAAAACACAACGGTGTTTATGCAAATAATATGCATTCTTGATTTTCTAATCTGTCCTCAGCTAGACAGGGAGTCATCGGAACTTAAAAAGGATTACTTTGGGTAAGGAACTGCAAGTTGGCAAACAGGAAGGGAAGGACACAGATATATCGGGCTTCCACAAGCACGTGGGATCCTCTAGCACCTTGTCCAAATGGCTCTGGGTTCTCAGTTTAGTCAAAACTCCGAATAACTGCTACCAATTATTGAATGGCTATTATATACTGGGCTAAGCTCTTTATATAGGTTACTTTGTTTAATCATTACCAAATAACCCATGATTTGTTCATCTGCACTTTATAGATGGAAAATTGAGGTTAAGAGTCAAGGGACACCGCTGGATTCTAACTCAAGATAAAATCCAAAGTTTTAACTTTATATGTACATGTGTGCGCACGTATTTTTTGTTTTGTTTCATTTTCTCCACCACATTTACAGAAAACCAAATTTGGTTTATTGGCTCTGATGAAGAAATTGCATCTACTTAGAACTAAGCAAGGTGCATCGGAGATCAATACACACTCTCTGTAACATAAAAATGTTTATTGCCAGCAAACTTTTTACTGAATCACAGGCATCCCAATGGGTCACCTAAATTAATATGTAAAGACGCTAATGACAAATAGCAGGGTAATACTGGTGATGGAAATTATAATAGATAATAGCTTATGTGGAGCACACAGGAATTGTTCTTAGGACTTCAGAGGTTTTAATTCATTTAACCCCCAATGACCTCACGAGGTAGTAGGTACTATTCTTAGCCTCATTTTATAGACAGGAAACTAAGACAGAGAAATGAAAAAAATTGCCTGAGTTGCATAGTTAGTAGCTGGCCTGGGGGGGCGGGGGTGGTGTTGGGGGGCGGATTCGAACCAGCGAGCCTGGCTCCAAAGTGCAGGCTCTGACTACTTCCAGTAGCCCCATTAGTTTGTATTTGGTATAGTTCAAACTTCACTTTGATTCACATGTGGGCTGGGTTGTACGCTTGTCAAATCAGTGCTTCCTTTATATTTAAATTAATAGGAAAATTCAAGATCTCATGAGTGAAACCTAAAATCTAAGTAGACACAGTTCAAAGACTTCAGAAATAACCATTTGTCCTGTTTCCCATTTCTTAAAAAATTCTCTCAACTTCGCTTCTCTGACACCATCTGTCATTTGCTCTTGTGGCTCAGTCCCCATGTGCAGACAGTGATTTCCTAAATCTGTCTCACGACAGACCTGCCCTGGCCTTGAGAATTCCCACCTGAATGTATCAAAGCCACTTAATGCTCTAGAAGGTAAAAAATGCCACCAGCTTTTTCCTGGGTCCCCAACTATACCAATCATTTAAGATATACATTTTGTTTTAAATGCTGTCACTTCTCTTGTTTCAGTCACTGTCTTTTCTGCACACCCAGAACCACCCTATTGCCTTTGGCAGGGCTATTCCATCCGGATGCACACCTCTGGGGGGCGTCATTCTCAAAGGCTAGACTGTGAATGGTACCTCTTAGAGCTCAGGCATCAGGCCTGATTTTGTGTAATAGAACTTCTTGGTACTCAGAAATGAAATCAGTTTATAACTTAGCATCCTGCGTTTTGAATTCTAATACACAATAGTAGGGTTTTTATGTTATTTCTAATAACACATAGGCTATATTTGCTAACATTATATCTTACACTTAGCCATCGCTAGCTCAAGAAATGATTAATGTTAAGCTAAAATGGTGAGAAACTTACTTCAGGTGGTTTTCTACCTAGAAGAATGTAAGTAGCCATCACTTCGTCATATTTCTGATTTATTAAGGCGTCATTTATCTCATCTCGTGCAAAACCCATGGTCACCATGACATCTAGAAATTAAAAAAAAATGCAAATTTTCCGAAAGTGGGTTTATTTTAGTAAACAAATGAACAAAAATTGGCCAAGTTAGTCAACATTAGATAGGAAAACTAAGTTCTGAAATTTTAAAGTATAATGGCAATTATAAAACTGTCTGGATTAACAGATACCATACATTCGGACACTGCGTGGTCAGTTTTTCCTGCGGAAATTACCTATAGCATGGGTTACAGTGATGGGGCCCGTTCCATTTCTCACCGCCTAGCACATTCCTGGGCTGAATTCCTGTGTCCACCCAGAGACTCAGTGTCTGTGGATCTGTGTCTTGACACACAGACTCCCTTCTCTCTCAGCGCACCCTCAGCCCCCCACAGAGTGGTTTCTCTCCTCTCTTAACACCTCCTGCTTCCCAATCTGGAGGCAGCTTGGTTCCTCTTTGGAAGGCTGGGAGGCCACAGCTGTTCCCTTCAGATCCCTCACGCCCTAGAACGCTCCTCCCTCTGCCCCTTAAGCCGGTGGAAGTGCAACTGAGGTGACTGGGTTTCAGTTGCTAATGGCTGTGGAGGTGAATGGGGCTGGGCAAGGGGGAAGGACCCTGCTGAGAAGGTGCATCCTCCTCTGAGGAAACAGGGGGAGGCCCTATTCACTTGGGGCCTCTACATTTTTGGTTGACATACATGCTCTGTTTTGCTGATGTTTATCCGTCTGATCAGTGCTGATACATCAGTCATTCTTCCTGCTAGAAATTGCTGAAAGAATGAGGTTTGTCTACATTATTTTAATTTTTATATCACTGCTGCCAACAATGGAATTACATTATAATATGCATGAGGATAAACTAAGGAACTTGAAATTTGCAGTGTACAGTGTATATTCAGGGAAAGAGATGATGCTAATGCAAGCATTTTTCAAATAAAAATTGCTTCCCATTTATATTCTTAAATACTAAAGGACTGTTATTTATCAGCCTAGCGATAGTGCCTCCCACAACATTTAAATACTTACCTATTCTTTTTGTGTCATTGAAGTCTGGTTCAGGCTCACTATAGGGCTTTAGTTCTTCCTCTTCGTGACCGACATTCATCCATCGATCTTTCATTATTTGCTAGGAAATAAATTCTACATTATGTTTGGCCAACCAGAACATTCAACCACTTATTTCAGCTCTATTGTAATGAACAGGGACCAAATCATTCTTTCGGTCATGTCAGGAACGTTTCATAAGAGCGTGATTTGGAAAGGTCTCCCTGGACAGCATGTGGGGAGAGCGGAAGGCCAGGATGCAAGACCAGAGGCACAGAATCAACGAGGAGGCTTTAGCTGGGATGTAGGAGAGAGATGAAGCTGTTCTGAATGAAAGGTAGGCCGCGGCGATGAAGAAGAGAATTTTCAATATATAAAAATCAACAAAGCCCCGTGTCTGGATACTGGGGGAGAAGAGAAAGGGCCAGGGCTGAGAGACACTGAGGGTGAGGCCCAGGTTTCTGGGTTATTTTTTATTTTTGAAGATTTTACTTATCTGGTTTACATAACTGAGTAGAGGCTGATGCCGTTTACTGGGAAACCCAACTCAGGAAGAGAAGCAGACCCGATGGGCAAGGACAAAGGTCAGTTTTAGACAAGGTGAGCTGGTGGGGGGGCTGGGGGCTATCCAAACCTACGTGTTCTGTAAACACTTCTCGGGCTCAGGAGAGATCTGGGCTAGGGATGGGGGCTGAGGTCTCAGCCCAGGATGATGACAGTGGAGGGTCCTCCAAGCGGAATGGGTAGCGTGACAACGCGGGGAAGAGAACGCAAGGGAGAGCCTGGAGGATCGCCGGCATTTAAGGGTCAGGAAGAAAAGTAAAGGGAGCAAGGAAATCCACACAGAGTGACGCCCAAGGTGGCGAGGCAAGGGTTCTTCAAAGAGGAGGCAGAACTTCAAAGTTCTGTCAATTAAGGTGATGACTGAAAAAGGAATCGACTGTGTTTAGCAACAGAGATGGCTGCCTACATGATGGCCGTTTTGTGGGGTCGTGGCCAGAAGGCAACGCATGCGGGTGGGGGGGGGGTGGCGCGGGCTGCGAGCGCAGAAGCTGTTGGAGAAGCCTGGCCGGCAGGGGGCCCCGGAAGGAGGTTCTGGCCGGGGCTGAGGGGTGGATGGACGCCTGTTTTTTAAGGGAGGTATTTCGGCGTGTGGAAGGGCCAAGGGGGAGGCATCGGTAGAGCGGAGGTTTGGATGGCAGGGGAGCAAGAGCTTCCAGCCCAGGAATGGACGGGTAAGGCTTGGACCAGATAAAAGGCACACCCCCCTCTCGCTACACCGTGACAGGGGAACAAGGAGACGGAGGTCCAGAGAGTAACGTTAAGGGTATGTCAGCAGAGTAACGTTAAGGGTATGTCAGCGGGAAATGAAGAACTCATGCCCATTGCTATTTTCCCTGTGGGTTAAAAGACAAGGACCATTTGTCTGGAATGTCCTTTGATTCCCAAATTTTTTTGTTTGTTTTAATCTCACAAGGTCCATACAAGCCCTGGCTGCTTTTGTTACCCTTTCGCATACTCTGATCTTTGCCCGCAATTTAATGCAAACTGTCGTTAGGCAAGTATTTTGTGTTTACCTCTCAATTATCTATGTCCTATCTGACCATAGACGCAAACAAAGAACGCCGCGGGGCTGACTGGTGCAGGGTGGCGATGCGGTCCCTCTATGTACCCGGCGCTTAAATGCCCAATCCGCGTCTGCAGACTGAACGAAGGACACATGGTGCCCGCATTACCCATCTGTCCTTCCTCTAGGTTCCCCTGGAGCTCTGTTCATTCCCTCTGGCTCCCGGTATCACTGTCTACCTTTCACTACAGCTAGTCCCAGACAGACCCGCTCCTGTACGGCATTCAAAGTCCTTGAGGATAAAGACTGCGCCTTATGCCAGCTTTCTCAGAACAGTGCTTGTTGTTGCTTTTGAACTAGGCGGCATTTTAAAATAAGGCTTGGGTAAAAGAAAACGCAGAGGTGAGCAACATCACACAGCTGAGGAAGCGGGCAGAGTGCCCGGGAGACAGACAGACAGACAGACAGACAACTGAACCGGACATGAGGCAAGCGAAGGAAGAAAGCCCGTGGAGGTATAATCTGTGGCACCTGCTGACAAAATTCGTTTAGGGAATGAGGGCAAGGATGGAATTGAGGAGGGTTCTACGGATTTTAACTCAGGTGCCTGGCAGAATTGGGTGTCCATGAATTAAGTAAGAAACACAGGTACAATACCAGATCTGAGAGATGGAAGATAAACAATTACAAGCAAACTTAAGATAATCTGAATTTTCTAATGTTTCTCAGTTAAACTGTTTATTTGGTGCTGGTTTCATAACTATTATGTATCTGTCCACATCAAGGGAAAACCTCACGCCTATACAAAATTCTTCTGTGGGGACCACAGGCTTAACATTCAAAGCCAAGGGAGAAGTATCCCCAGGAAAAAGAGGTGCCATGTGACAGCAGAGTGCTCCTGTGACCTGGCTGGGTGGCTTCAGGTCGGGGCTGAATCACTGGGCCAGAAACTGCCCTGCACCCATCAGCTAACCCGGCCCGTTTTAGGTTTCATTTGAGATCTCAAAACAAGAAACAATAAGTCAAATAAGATTCCAAACTCAACAACAAAAAAAAATGTTTACTCTAGCCATTACTGCCGATGAACATAAATGATTGCTTGCTGGGAAATTCTAACAAAATAATTGATTCAGATGAATGATAAGGAATTAAACAAAGTAACAAGGGAAATACACACCGTCCACTTAGGTGCACATAAAAAAAATGATGGACTTTAGGATGGTCAGATAGAAATAATTTTTCTTAAATGGTTTCAACCTTTGTAAAGTACATCACATACTTCTGAGTCTGTACTTAGAAATCTTTCTTTCTTTCTTTCTTTTTTTTAAAAAGGCTATGATTATTAGTAGGATTACTGGACACAATGTCACTTGTACTGGCCAGGCATAAATAAGGCCATTTAAGATAATCTTAGCTGCAGCTAAGAAAAGATATTTTTTAGGAGGACCAAAGATGACAAAGAGCAAAAAGTAGGAGTTTGACGTTAGCTCAAATTTTGCATTTATTTTGAAGGTAACACAGGAAATAAAAGAAAAAATTATATATATATATATATATATATTTCTTCACATATATGGAATAGCACAAAAGTTTTGCAGTTTCTTTTAATAAAAAAATCTAGATACATCAATATTTAAATAGGTAGGAAATAAAAACTTAGTATACAACATTAAAATACAAATCCTTTAAAATGTATATGTGATACTATCCCTCCCATTATTAGTGTGATTAGGAAGAGCTGACAGCATTCATATTCACAACCTTAAAAAAATTATATAACAGTTTAAGATCTAGAAACAACTATATAGGTCATGCAAACAGACTATGAAATTAATTTCATTAAGTGTATTTCCATGGAGGTAGTTGATTTATAAGGCTTCAAGAACTACCTCAATAAAGTTTGCAGTCATATCTGAGAAGCAACAGCAAAGTGTTAAATAAGTTAAATAAGAAGTTTAGTAAGAAAATAAGTAGCCACCCAAAACTGTCTAACTCAAATTTCAATGTTAGTAAATTATATACCAAAGAAAGAATAGCATTTAATAAATAACTCATGATATGCAAGTAACACCAAAAAGAAATACATAAATTTTCATTTTTTAAAAGATATGGGAATTAATGGGAAGTATTTCATATTAAAATATACAGAGCTAATACAAATATGTAAGGCTGATTAATCAGACCCACTTCGACAAGCAGGAAGAATGAATCCAGCCATTAAAAATATTTAGTGTTATCTTTAATGAAATGAATACAAATTAAAGCAATTATGGCAAAGTGTAGTACTACCATAAAGGCATCGAACAGCAGAAATCATTATATCCAATACTGAATCAAGCTGTGGAGAACAGGTACCTTCAAGTGCCCTGATCACATACCATCTTTTCGCAATGACAGACAAGACCTATCAGACTGTTAGTACCTTTGACCCAATAAATACATCCTGGAGAATTCATCCAAGTATATATCCCAAAGGGAAAATAGTATAGCACCCTACTTTTAGCAAAAACAATGAAAGAACTCAGATGTGCAAAAACCAGGTAACAGTTAAATAAAATCTGATGTATGATCCAAGGACAGCAACATTGCTATCAAAAAGGAAGGCGCTCACTCTTAGGATAAAGCAAAAACTAGGTGCCCCGAACTTTTAAGTTAAAAAAAAAAAGAGACTGCAACATGCAATGAAAACAGTACTATTATATAAAATTTTATTTTTACATATTTGATGATAAATGTTTTAAAAAGTCACTTTTTATAGTTTATGGGGTTTTTTGTTGTAAAGTTGATAATAAAATTGATATGAAAAAATAAAAGTGAAGACTAATATAATTTTTGACATCACTGTTATTTCAAGTTGCTTAAGGTTTGATGTCAGAAATCTTTTTTTTTTTTTTTATAACAGTGTCAGGTTTCTCTGGAAAGTCATTTCTGGGAACACTGAAGCAGACCAACCTTTGCAGGGTGATATCGGCAATATTATAATATTTCCTGTGTAGACTCTTGGTTCTGTGGCTGAAAAACTTAGTTTTAATAAACTGGAACAGGTTCCAGACTATATTCAAATACATCAAGTTGAGTTTCTGATGATCAAATGTTTTCATAATAATAATTTGGCTTTTAAATTCTACTCAGAGAATTCTAATACTTTAATCCTTTGAATTTTAATGCTAAGAACAAAATATTTAATATTTGGCTACTCTAATTTAATCATCTTTAAAACACTAAGTACATCTTACATCTTCTTGACGGTCCATATAGGTATTTGCAACATCTATTCTCCCAAATAATTTTTGTATGACCTTTTGCACTAAGAAGTGAGCTGATGCATCACCTCTGGATATTTTATTAAGTGACCTTCAGTAAGTAGGGTTCCTATGATAAAAGTGAGTCATAGAGCAAGATTAGGAGAGACTTATGTTCCCATAAAATTTTAGGACGGATATGAGCCTCAACTGTTTCAACTTGTTAATTATTTCCCGTAATTTTCTATGACTAATGGTTGACAGTAAGTCTAGAAAGGCAGTAATGTGGAAGGGGCCTTTCTATCACAAACATTTCTCTATTAAAACACTAATGTACTCTTTTACCACCAAAGGAAAAAGAATCATAAGATGAAACTCATCACATTTTAACAAATAATTCAGTAAAAAATATCTGATAGTTGATTCACTGATTCAAAGCATTTAAAATAACCTCTCAATGGAAGTTACCATCCCTTAACTGCCATCAAAACATACTGTATCTTGTAGTGAAAAATACTTGTGAAAATGCAATCACAAAGCCCAAACTAACCTGAGAGCTCTATACACAGGGAAAGCTCACTATAAGGCAGAGAGTCCGTGCCAGAAAGCCCCACTGCTACACTAAAAAAGTACAGTTTAAATGAGGTTAATTGTCTGAATTTTTCTACCCTATCTGCTAAGGCAAATAAATGAAGACAAAAAAGTCCTAGTGAACAACATATACTGAATCTCTGAAATTAACTTAGTACAGGTAAAATCGCTCTTAAAAAATAGATGATCAAAATACTTCAGAAATAAGTAGCTCTACTTGCAGTATCAGAAGGAACAAAGGTTAGACATTTTGGTTATATGAAATGTGATGTTATTCCGTTACAGCATACCTAGTACATCCCTAAGAGCATCTATTATTATAAATAACCTCAAATATGGAATGCAAATAAGTAACACAACAGTGTGTTAAGAAATGAAATACCTGTTTCCAATGGTCTCCTTAAATATCTGTAAATTTTCTGTGCTGATGCTGAGATTTCTATTAACTTTTTAAAATATCAGATACTAATTTCAGATATAGCCATGAAGTATTTCCTGGGTTAGAATTTTCACTATTTGTATTTACTAAATATAAGATTTCTGTATTGGATCAAGCCATGTCTGGCAAGGCTAGGCTTTCCTCCTTCCCCAACTGAAAGTCCGTTTTCTCCCTATTTTTATGTTGTTTTAATTTAATACTTCATTTCAGGACAAAGAAGAAATAACAGTCTTTACAGTGACTACTGTGATAACTTTTGAATAGCGAAAGAATCATGTTACTTCTCTAGCTCAAACCAAAAGACAAATTAGATGACTTGGCAATTTTCTTAAAAAAACACAGGAAGAAATCATTTTAAAATGCTCTTCAGTTCCCAGAATACTTTAATTGTTAAACATAAATCTGAAGTACAAAAAAACCCACTTACTTCCAAGCTGCCTCTTTTAATGGGATTCAGCACTAATAATTTCTTGAGAAGATTTTCACAGTCGGTGGACATATAGAAGGGAATGCGGTATTTCCCTCGTAAGACTCGCTCCCGCAATTCCTGAAAAAAGCAAAAGCAAGCACTTGTTCGCTGGCTTTTGTTAAAGGGCTCACGCGTGGGGAGGAAACACGAACGTCACGTGTAGCCGATACCTTTAAATTCTGGCCATCGAAAGGCAGGGAGCCGCTGACTAACGTGTAGAGAATGACGCCGAGGCTCCACACGTCCACCTCGGGCCCGTCGTACTTCTTCCCTTGGAAGAGCTCCGGGGCGGCGTAGGGGGGGCTTCCGCAAAACGTGTCCAATTTGTTCCCGACTGTAAATTCATTACTAAAACCAAAGTCAGCAATTTTAATATTCATATCAGCATCAAGGAGAAGGTTTTCAGCCTAAGAGGAAAATAATAAAAAGGACAATGTAAAGAGCCTACATAACATCAAATCTCCATCATAACTGTTTCCGATCCCAAACGCGTTATCTTTTGCCTCTCGTTTTTCAGGGGGCTCGCAAGTGCAGGAGCCCCGTGGGGTAGGTCAACGTGTATCTGCGCAGGAGTACATCTGCCTGGGCTGATTTGAACACTATACAAGGAAAACTCTCGTTTTTATGCCTATCTGCAACTGTTGAAGAAAGGTTATTTTAAACCCACTTTTTCTTCAAGATAAGTGACATCCTGGAACTGTATCTCAGTATGGCTTCGCGGAAAGAACATCCGTCAACATAAGACAAGTCCGTTTGGCGCTCAAACCAACAAGTTTACCCAACAGCGCTCTATTTTCATAAAGGATCAATGGTTAATGCAAAACTAATACCTACAGTAACTGCCCATCAGGGCTTCCGGGACGACTGAGTTCCATCCTTTGCCCTCTCCTACAGAGTGCTTCCTCAGAGAAACAATACAGTGCAATACAGACTCCACTAGGTCTTGTCTGTGAGAGCTTCCTTTGGCTGTTTTGAAACTCGCCTCTTTTCTGGAGGTATATTCTGGGAAAAAGCAGTGATTCTCTGCTCCCTCCCTCCAAGTTTTGAGATGTTCGTTTTCAAAATCCTAAATCAGAATCCCTCCAAGAAAAAGTTTTAAATGTGCTTTTGGTAAATGCAAGTGATTCAATAAAGTATTTGCTTTTGTACATTTTTTTAAAAAAAAATCAAACTCTGTCACAAATGATAGACTAAGAGAGTTAGTTATTGGTTGTTTTGTAGATGTGTTTTATCAGGGTCGAAAAAGGAGTAATGTTTGGTTAACATTGAAAGGCAGCCTATGGATTGTGAGGTGGTATCTGCACGCCACGTGCCTGATAAAGGGTTACTATGCAAAATACAGGGTTGGGAAAAAGTAGGTTCACAGTTCTCCATATGGAAAAGAATACAGTAATTAATCAGTAATAACCAAGAATAGATTGTTTCATGCACTCACAACCGTAAACCCACATTTGCCCCCACCCCGGATATAAGGAATTCATAGCACTCAACAGCAAACCACAAAAAAACAAAAAACAACTCAAAAAATGGTTAAAGCACCTTAATGGACATTTTTCCAAAGAGCATACAAATAGCCAAGAGGTGCAGGAAAAGGTGCTCAGTATCACTCATCAGGGAAATGCAGATCAAAAATCGCAAAGAGATGGCAAACCACCGGTTTGGATGGCTAGCTTCAAAAATATAAGTGTTGGGGAGGATGTAGAGAAAAGGGAATCTGTGCACACTGTTGATGGAAATGCAAACTGGTACAGACATTATGGAAAACTGGATGGAGGCCTTCGAGAAACTAAAATTAGAACTACTTCGTGATCCAGCAATCCCTCTTTTGAATATATACCCGATAGAAATGCATTCAGTACCTCAAAGAGGTGTCTGTGCTCCGATGTTCATTGCCACAAAGATTTCCTATCATACATTCCTTACATCAAAGTAGTAACTTTATACTAACCAGATACACTTGATATTCTGAAAAATGTTTAAAATGTTTCCTTATTTTTTTGAGCGTTAAAATAAAGAATGAGAATTGGCTCTTATATCAGACCAACCTGGATTTGTGTTCAAACCTAGTTTCTGACTTAATGGGACCTTAGGCATTTTTAGTTTGAGAGAAAGTTCCACATTCACCTATTAAAACAAGGTTATTAACGGTGAATCAAATCCTCTAACCTTGAATGCTAGATAACTACTCATATATTTTCATTTTCTCAGTGAAAATATTGCCTTTCATACAGCTGCTGTGAAGATTAAATAAAAACTAATTTCCCTGTACAGTGCCTGGCACAATTTGGCAACCAAAGATATTTCTAATAGTATAAACTATCAGCTAATAATTTAAAATTTTCCGTTATGAAATCAGTGGCTTACCTTAAGATCGCGGTGAACAATGCATTTTTGATGACAATATTGCACAGCAGATACAATCTGAAATAAATATTTGGGAAAAAGGGTAAATATTATTTTTGAGTAAAAAAGGAAATCACAATTTCCCCCAATTATCACCTCCAATTTAGATAAATTACTAACTTGAATTTTAAAGTATATTTAATAATTTCACTGTTCCTTTACTTCAGAGAACTCTACATATCAAAGTTAAAGTGATGAAACTCACTCTTAAATGTAGAAAATGTGAAAAAGTAGTATTTGCTTGCTAAAATATACTAAAATATTTGTCAGAGCTGTGAAGACTTTTATGGGTTGTTATATTTCTCTGTTTACATGATCAAATGTGTACAACTTGTAGTTTTGGTCAAATGGTTTATTTATTCCAGTGTTGGAATAAGAACTTTGGCAAACATGAATCACTATTCCAAAATAGTTGGTTCCAGTTCAAAGAGCAAAACTCTATTTTTAGGAATTATATCAAATGTGTTCAACACATGTTTCTTTAGTGAGGCCAACTGACGAAAAACATATCAGTGGGGTATTTAGCAATATCCTTTGTGTGTTCAAATATAAAAAAAATGGGGGGGGGAATGTGCCTTAACAAAAGACGCAATTATAAAAAGAAAAAAAAATTTAATTTTAAACCTGTCACTAAGTCAGGTGGGCAAATCTGTAACTAGATTTTGTATGCAGTCAAAATTTTCAGCCATTACTTCGGGCTCATTGGGGGCAAGTTCTAAACAGAGAGGAACCCAACAGATTAAGTGCCAAAGATACAACTGAGGAATAGGTGATAGCAATTCTTTCACAGCAATGTACTACATTAAACACAGACTTGGTAAGATTCTTACAGCAATCACGTAAGAGCTATTTTGTACAAAAAATTTGATGTCTAGGAGGACAACCATTTTAACGCACAACAGAACTTTCAATTCTGTGGATTCAGTTAAAAGTAAACACAGCTTGAACACTGAATATTGGTTAGGCGTGTACAAATGGAGACAGTAATGAGATTTCTAAATGTCTAACGATGATGTGAAGTATGACTATGCTGATAGGAATATGGGTTAAAACAAAACTTCTGGGTAATAGAAGTAAAACTGACAGCTCAGTATTCTAAAATTATCCTGATGTATATTAAAATGGTTCAAAGACAGAGAGGACATGGATTCAAAACAAAATCAACACGCAACGAGTATATGTAATGTGATTAAATTCATTATGAGTCACGAGTCAGTTTATTGAGTACCCGCTATGTGCAAGAAAATGTGCTAGGGAAACACAAAAAGTAACACTACACGGACCCCGCCCCTAAGGAGCTGGCAGTCTGATAAGGAGGAGAAGACACGTGCACGAGTAACTACAATACAAGGCAGAGTCGCAGAAGCAGAAGTACAAACAAGCGAGGAAATCCAAAAAAATATATAATCAATTCAGTCAGCAACGCTTCCTGGAGTTGGTGATACTGGAACTAGGCCATCCTTGAAGGACAGCAATAGTTTAATACATGGAGCTTTGGTAATGAGGCAGAAGGGGGTGAAATGCACCGATGCTGAGGACAAACACTATTTGGAAAGTTGGTGGGGAACAGTAACAGGAAGCCTTGATGGGCAGGCTGACAAGTCTCTGAATTTCAAACTAAGCAGGTACTACACAACCACTACATGGTTCTGAGCAGAAAGACTATGAATGAAAATGATCAACTGGAAGTGTGAGTCCCCAGAATACAGAAGAACCTTACAATGAATACTTGTAGCAGGTTTTCTGAAGCAGGACGCTTCAAAATGCTAATATCCAATGTTCACGAAAATATGGTCATTAGGCAAGAGATCTATATATTTATATATAGATATTAATACTTCTTATTGAAGATAATACATGGCTATAGTATGTTCATACTATAAGTCTATATTTTCTACCATGGATGACAGAAATTTGCTAACAATATTATCTTTTTCAAGTCTCTTTGTCTTGATATAGTGAAGAAGCATGTTATAAATAATGATGTGGTTACCAAACATGCGTTTCACATTAGACAGAACAATCTTTATGAAAGCAGTTCTATAGGCACTTCTGAAATAAAAATCCCATGGGCCTTAAAGCCGTGGGAATGGAAAGATAATTAAAGAGATTGCTCTGGATTAAGCATGCATTCTCCCCAAGCTCTATGACCTCTGACCCCAGCAGTCAAACAGGGAGGTTTATAATATCACCACACTTATCTAGCCAGGTACAATGAAGAAATTCTGACTCGGACTCACTGCAAGAACCCCATCCGCAAGTCCAGGTTTTACTGCATCGTTCAGTGGCCAGACCCTCCGTTCTCAGAACCTCCACAGATAGGATGTAGGAACCTCCCTGCGGCCCTTCCACAACAGACCGTGAAAACGTGAGTTGCCGTCAGCCCTGCACTGCCCCTAGGATCAGGCACGTCGCTGTCTTGCTGTGAAATGCAACTGTTAGGGTTCCTTTGCAACTAGTTACTAAGTGGGTCAGGAATTCCCAAGCTCAAAGCAGTAGCCTTGATATTGGAGGAGCTGAGTCAATACTATAATTTTCTTGCAGGCCACCTAATCCTAAGGGATGCAGAGGCCTTATATGATCAACAGATGCTCAAGCGCCTTAACCTGTCCAGCGCCTTTGCTGTATCTAACAGGAGAGTTGAGGACAGAGTGTAAACCGCTGGAGAAGATCTGAAGCAGAGGGGAAGAATAAAACCTGCTCAACTTTGGCATAGCATTTTCCAAACTGATCGCAGAGTGAGTCTGTTTTGTGAAACCTCTGTTGTTACTCTCTCACAGAATCCCGACTTTTCAGAACACAATTTGCAAAATGCTTTATGTCAATGACATACGTAGACCTTTTATTCAGGCTAGAATCCTAGAAGCAGGCATCTTAAAACAGCTGAATCTAAAAACAGCTGGTAATAAGGAAGCAGCTTTGAGGAACTGAACGATGTTCAGCCCATGCACTGTTCAGTTCTCTCCTACCCTGGGCTGGCTGTCCAGCTCCAGGCTGCCCGGAAGTAAAGCACGGTACAGTTGTCACTTTAAATGTCATCGTTTTTTTCAATACCAGTCACTGTAGTTCTAGTTAGTAGCTGACAAGCAAGAAAATCCCAATTGGCATTAAATATCCCCACTGGGATCTTAATGTATCTTGTAAAGACTTACTACTCACACATTTTATTTTTTTAGTCAGCTGATTTGGGATATAGTAGGTTTTCTGCTGAAACTTTACTTCAGTACATGCTAAAAATAATTTACAATTTATTAATGTGTCATGTCTATTGAAATTTATATAGTATACTAATTTAATCCCTTTATTCCTAAAAATTAAAAATAAAATCCTAGATCAACTTAAATTGTTTTTTCCTATTTTATCATTTTTGTAACAAGTCATATTCAAGTTTAATTGGAAGTACAAATATCTTACCATATTCTTCTGCCACATTTGCAAGGTTCCTTGCCTACCTGACTAAATAGAATTGACCATAGTCTTTAAATCTATAAAAATATGCATTCTAATACCAAGCCATCTTTAATTACAAAAGAACATAATAACCTCTTTAAACAGTACATATATATACTATATAAACAGAGCTAACAATACTTGATAATAATTATTAGATAAAGGATTAAGTATTTCTCTTCTATCTCAGTCCAGTCTATATTTCCAGCTGTCAAGGAGTTAATGAGTCTCCCCTATAAGCATTTTGCTATTTATGATCATCTAAAAATAACATTTGCAACTCTTTTAAATTGCAATTCAGGAAGAACAGATTTATTTTTCAGTTTTCCATTCATAAAAAGTATAAGAAAGCAAGAATTTTTCTTTTTAAAATACCACGGACCCTGAAGTTCAGTTTGTGACGCTGTCCATTGTACATTACTAAAAGTATCAGCAAAACAAAGTTGAAAACTACTTTCCATACCTGCCTAAATTTTGCACGGGCCTCTTTTTCTTTCATTCTTCCATGGGCAACTAAGTAATCAAATACTTCACCTGAATCAGAAAGGTAAAGCAGGCAGTAAAATATACATAAAATTTTCAATTAACAATATATGCAATGTCAATTTTTGCCTTGTTTTTAAAGAAGCTTCCGGCCCACAATTTTCTGATAATTCTATGTAAATCACAAAATATTCCATGAATAGAAAAAAAAAAAAGGAAAAAAATTACATATAGAATTGAGTGTTGGTAGCAGCTTAGTGATTTAGCAAAACTCTTTAAAGGATAAGTCATAAAAACATAACCAAGAAAACTTGCTTTCTGCTTTTCAAATATTACGTTAAAAAAAATACAGTCAACTCTTTATTATCCGTGCTAATAAAGGGAAGCCACAGCACGGGCAATCAGAAATCACACTTGGCTTTTTATTTGGGGCCTACATTCCAAATAAAATAACGAAAGTCTTATGTTGGATCTCTCTCTTTTAAATTCATGTAGTCTTGGTCAAATTCCATCTCATCTTTTCTGCGCACATTGATTTCTTTCTTTTCCTTCCTACGCTCTGATTACGCTTATTCTCACCATACTCATTCCACCTATTTTGTGCCTATTATTATACAGAATTAAATCATCCTTATGTGCACCTTCTATTACCCCAGATGAACTGCAAACTACTCGAAAACCATCATTGCACCTGTAATTTCTTCATTTCCCCAGCCTCATGACAGAACACAATGTGGATAGACATACGTATTTGCTGAAATAATTTAAAGACAACTAAAAACTGTAGAAATTTTCTCTTCGATCTATTACTTTACATGTCTGTAAGTTACTTCATTTTTCTTTCTAATCAATAATAGTAAAACAAAAAACTGAAATTAATGTTTAGCTACAATATAAAAAATATCTCCATAAAAGGAAGAAATTTTTTGTGTGTGTCCTTTTAATTACCATTTGCACCATATAGATATACATGCATGCTAAAAACTCATGAAGTGGCTTAAGGAGTTCTTGTAAAGTACAACAAAGTGGTTAAAAACTCAGACTTTAGAATCAGACCGACTTTGGTATGAATCCTGGTTTAGCCCAAGGTAGCTTTTAGGAGACATTAGGAAGAGTTCTTAACTTCACTAAGACCCAGTTCCTATCTACTGCGTATCTCACATGGCTTTTGTGAGGATTAAATGAAAAAATGCATGTGCTTAGCACAGTGACTGGCAAATAGTAAGCACTCAATAAATTATATGTTTGTATCTAGGTATACAGATATATTACATATACACGGATATGCAATATCAATCCTAGGAGATCAGTAAAATATTAAAAAGCAAACGTGTAATGGCGTATGTCAGATGAAACTAAGACGTCTACAATGCCAGACAGCATATTACTTCAATGGTTAAATGGGATGATGAAAACAGAAATGAAGGCATGCTCTAGTTGGCCCCTCATAGCGGCTCATTCTCAGGATATGGCTTTAGGCTGGGAAAGAGTCACACATGAGTTCAAAAACCTGAACTACTCTGAAGGAGTTCACTCAGCCCGGAACACTCAGACCGCAAATGTTGACGTGACTCTGTCCGTCACTGCTTATATTCTGTCTGTTTATCGTTCGCTTCCCCAGCCAGGATGTAACCTTCTGAGGGCAGGGACTTAGCCTTAGCTCATCCATGTGCTCCTAGCACCCAGGACAGTACCTAGTACAGAGTAAACATTGACTAATGTAAATATTGTTCGTATGAAGGAAAGAAGGCATAAACACACCATTGCAGAGTAGCCCTGACACCTACTTTGAACAGGCTCTGTTGGACAAAATGTGACCGAGTCGTAAAGGAAGCCCTTGCCTCCCCCATCACTGGAGATCTTTTGCCTCATTAGTGAACCAAAAGCAACAGGTCCACTCCTGGCAAAGAGGCCGTTATCTGACTCCACTCCCCTGTTCATGCTAGATTTCTGTGTGCATGTCAGATTCAACCTTAAACTATCTGGGCATTTCAGAGGAATACTAGCAAGTGTTCTATTTATCCAGCGTAGCCTCGCCATTGTTAGGTTAAGAGGGCAAGAAAATGATTTTAGATTTACTGCCAGAAGCATGACGGTTTTGTTACAGGGTCGCTGAGTGGCAAGACCAAAGAAAATCAGTCACTGGGAATCAGAACTGTATGAGGGACCACCTGGTTGGGGCTGAATTCCAGTACAGGGTCTCTACGCTACACCGCTGCCGGCCACTAGGCTTCTGCAGGAGGGCGGGGAGGGACACCATGTGCTCTGTCACCCCATCCATCAACCCCATTCATTAGCACCAATAGAGAGTTGACTGTACTCACCATTCACTGTTAAAACAGTGCACATGCTATCACGGTTCATGGTGGCCCTCCCTAAACACAGGACGGTGTCCACAGGTTCTCAGCGGTCTACTATTTTTCCGATCACAGCCTGTCTAGCCCTTTTTTCTAGACTTTATATGACTAAAATGAAAAATAAAAACAAACAAAAAAAACAAAGGGTCTAACTGAACTAAAAATAACTCTCAGGGTTCCCACGCTGACAAAATGTTACATAAATCTATCTAAAGGTTAGAAAAGTAGAGCAACAATAGTTCATTACGTGCTTTTTGTAGGTTTGTTGGTTTTATTATAGACTTTCATTTTGTGAAAATTTGCACAGCTGAATAACTGTTTAAAATCAAAAATTATTAATAACATAGTTTTTCCGGTTAAGTAAAAAAAATCTACACTGAAATATCTTCAGGATAGAAAAAAAAGCTTTTAAAAAGGCCAATCTACTGAAACATTCCATCTGCATAAAAGACTGAAAATGCAATTAAAATGTATTTCATATATGCACTAAAATTTCTTTGAAATCTAAGAGCTAGTATATAAACACATAATTTAGATACCATGGACTAGACTAGAATAAATCCTTTTATTCTAGTTATATAAAATCTGAATCACCAGAAAAATCTATATACTTTATTAGCTAAAAGGACCCAACAGTGTTTTTCTATTGATTAGCAAGAGTTAATTAGCCAAAGTGGTTTAAATACTTAGAATTGCCCTCCTTCTTCTTCAATTGCTTAAATTTCCTGAGCCTTTCCAACCTTCAAGCATTCCTTTTTTACTTACTCAATGATTTAACTTCATACATTTTAAACCTGTTTCTGAGAAACTTAAGTCCTATGCCTGACAGAACTGTGATTTTCAGTGAGTGTATCTCTCATTTGAGAAAGCAGATGAAAATGGTTTTCTATATGTATCAGTGTTTAAAAATATCATTCCTATTTTTGACACTATGTAGTCAAAATACATACTACATTCTACTAAAAATGAATCTTACTATTTCCCTGTCAACTCACTTTTTTTAACTTAGAAAATACATAAATCAATACTTGTTTTAATTAAAACATTTTATGGATTATCTTGAAAACGTACATATATTGAAAATCTGTCATATATGAATAATCAGTGAAATAAATATCTGACCTAGAATATGCTTTTGCCATACATGCATTAAATACATTCTGAATTTGAGATTTCCTGCTTATAGCCAAGGGCTTCTAATCATCATAATAATGACTTATTATATATACTGTTTACAAAAGAGAATCAAACCATTCACAGATAACAATGCAAATTTAGAGCTTTTAAAGTCTCCCTAAGTAATTTTTAAGTAAACTAAAAATCCAATTTTCAAATATAGGATCAATAGATGTTGAAAGTGAACAAGAATTTTCCTTAAGGTAGCATTTTAAAGGCATTTTAATAAAACTATAAATTCATTAACAAGAAGGAAGACATAAGTTTTATAACTGATCTTAGGTGTTGACAGTTCTATGTCTCACCAAAGACAACTTCTCAAGCCCCTCGTCCTTACCCCCACTTGCGTACTCCATGACTAAATACAGGGTCTTCTCTGTTTCAATGACTTCAAACAATTTTACTGAAAAAGAAATGAGAAATATAACTGTAATTGTCAGCACATATTGGACATGTTTTGATAAAATTTAAGGTCACAATAAACCAGGCGAAATTCTGAGTATTTACAAAAGATTATTCATCATGATTTTAAATTTACAAAGTCTCTCAAGGGTTATTGCTATTGTGGAAGAAAGCTACTTACTATGAAGTGATTTGAAACCACCTGCTGGGTCAAAAGAGAGTTAAGTTTTTGGCATTAAAAAACCATTACTTTTCCTGATCAGGATAATGTAAGAAGAGGAAAAATCTTAAAATCAGAATAATAATTTTTTTACATTAGTAAAATTTTAATGCTTTAAAAGATGCTATATTGTAATGGGTGTATTAAAAAATGTTAAATAATCTTTAGTACAGAAACAAAAAATTCTATAAATATGTAATATTATAAAAGTTCCTGGTTAAAAACTACTAAATTATCAAGTTTATGCAACTGAAATTATATACTTACAAATAATTATATTAACACCCCTAATAAAAATATAATTTTTAAATGTGCAAGAAACAAATGTTTAAAAAAAGATTAAAAGAGTTGATTTCTACTTCTTACAATCCAATGACTTCATATAATATATGTAATCAATATATTTATCTGTAAATGTAAGGGAAAACCAGAATTGATGGAAACAAATTCATGAAAATTGTAATCAGCTCTATTTTTAATTCAAATTAGTTATTTTGCCTATAAATTAAGATCAAACCACAACATATATTATCAAATTACCTGGAATTCATTTTTTATAAATATGTAAGTGGCATGCAATCTCTGTAGAGAGATTAAAGAAATAAAAAAAAATATGTCTATGCATTGACTCCAAGTCATAGCCATTATTTTAGCAAAAAGCAGAAGAGAGCAAGGCAGCACAGAACAGCACTTCGTAGCCTTCGGTTCCTGTCTTTGTATTGTTTTTATCCACATATCACTCTCTCAGGTTATCACTCAGATTTCAGGTTATCGCTTTTCTTCTATTTATATAAAACACCCTTAAAATTATATATTTCCAAATACACTTGAAGGCCACTGGCTGGTGTGGCTCAGTGGACTGAGTGCTGGCTGTGAAGCAAAGGGTCCCTGGTTCGATTCCCAGTCAGGGCACATGCCTGGGTTGTGGGCCAGGTCTCCAGTAGGGGGCGTGCAAGAGGCAACACACACTAATCTTTCTCTCCCTCTCTTTCTCCCTCCATTCCCCTCTCTCTAAAAATAAATACATAAAATCTTAAAGAAAAAAACACTCAAAGGAAAATACTTCATCATTAACTTATATATAAATATCATACCTATGTTAGGATGATTTAATATCTTCATTATTCGTACTTCTCGAAACAGCTGTTAAAGAAAACAGGTAGACACACTCCTGTTAAAGAAGAGCACTCAAGCAGGGAACCAACCGAAACATCCATTTTAAGTGATTCATGTGCTTTAACACACTATGGGATCCTGGTAATGGACTAAGAAACAAGAGGTTGGTTTCTCAGTCCCACCTCTGACTGAGACGTGGTTCCCAAGACAATTTTAACGAGATGAATGCCAATGGTTCTCTCCCTCCCCCTGCATCCGTCTCTCACTCCCTTCCCATCTCTCTCCCAACATTATACAACAAATCTTAAACTTTTATTGAACTGTTCTTCATTACCAAGAATAAAAGAAATACACTGTGGAAATGAAACTAAGTGATTTTTTGCATGATTTTTATCTATAAACAACCTTCTTTGCGGGGGGGGGGCGGTGATCTGACTCTTCAGTCATCTCTACTGGTTGATTAGAAAGTTTATTAAATATTAAATGATATAAAACTATATTTCAATAACATTTGAAAAGGAAACTATTTTCAGTAGCATTTTAAGGGAGACTCGTATAATATTTAAAAATATATTTACCGCTTTATATAAAACCAAAACAAAATGAAAATAAAGTCACTTGAAACATGAATGTTAAAACTTCCCTTCCTTTTAAACAATATAAGGCCTGCCTGCTTTTCAAAAGCATGATTTAGAATTTTTTTTTTACTGTATGTTACCTTTGAGTATTTGTTAGAATCAAACTCAAACAACTAGTTCTATAGAAAATAGGGAAAGCCAGTAATTGATGATATTCCAAAAAGTCTATAGTAGGACATACGTGTTTTGTCAGAATAAAATCTAAAGTTGGTGCTTTCAGAAGTTATGTTTCTCTCAAGAAGATACACAAATGGCCAAAAAGAACATGAAAAAAAATGCTCATTAATCATTAGGGAAATGCAAGTCAAAACCACAATGAGGTATAACCTCAGGCTCATTAGAATGGCTACTATGAAAAAAGAAAAACACACCAGAAAAATAATGTGTTGACTGGGATGTGTAGAAAATATATACACCCCAAAGACTTGAAAGCAGAGACTCAAATGTGTATTGGCACACCTGCGTTCATAGCAGTATTATTCACAATAGCTAAAAGGTGGAAGCAACTCAAGTGTCCATTGAAGGGTGAATGAATAAACAAATTTGGTAAATACATAGAATGAAATATAATTAAGCCTGGAAAAGGATGGAAATTCTGCAACATAACATGAACAAACCTTGAAAACATCATGCTAAGTGAAATAAGCTAGTCATCACATAAGGACAAATACTGTATGATTCCATTTCTATATGAAATAAAAACAAGACATCATTTTGCATATATAAGGTTGGCAAAAATTAAGAAATCTGAGAGTATAAAGTGCAAGAAAGTAGAGAAATAGCAAACCCCACACAGTAGTAGTAAAAGTTCATATTGGTTCATCCACTTTGAAGACCAACTTGACAATACTTAGTAAAGTTGAGAATATGCACACTCTTCAACCTAGCAATTCCACTTGAAGTATTTTCTTCTATGTATCTTCACAAAAGGGTATACACAATAACAATCATTGCAGCATTGTGTGTAATAGCAAAAACAAAAGGTAACTAACTAGAAAAATAACAAAGCAAAACAAAAAAACACCAAGTACAATTTAAAAATCCACCAACAGAAAAAAGGACAAACTATAGTATACCTATTAATAAGAGAATGGGGAAACAGTGGCATAGTCATACAATGGCACACAATAATAGTAGTGAAAATAAATGAGCTAAATTATATAGACTAATATGAATACAAAAGAAAGACAATGTTATATGAAAAAAACAAGGGTAGGGAGTTTAAAAATAAATATGTAGTATTTTTATGTACAAGATATATACATGTGAACATTTTTTAAAAAGTTGAATGGGACTAAGAAAGACCAAATTCAGAACAGTAGTTCTTTTCTAGGTAGGAAAAGATAGAAATAGAACCAAGAGATGACACATAGGGTTTCAACTGTTTCTGCAATGTTTCATTTCTTAAAAAAAGATTAGAAATGAAACAACTTAGTCCAATAAAAAATATCATGAGAAAGCAACTTTGTTTTTCAAATGGGAAAGACATTTTGAAGTCCCCATCCAAAAATTAAAAATAGACTTGTTTACTATGTCAACAAACTGCCCAACTTAGGAAAAAAAATAGAAGTATGACTCTTCAAATAACTAAATAAGAATATGACTTTTAAAAGAGCCAGATGGTTAGTCTAAAATTCATAGGTGATTTAAAGATTCTTAGCTTCCTCTGTTTCCAGGCAAAAAATTTCTCATATGTATTCCAGTACATCTTGAATAGTTTCTTGAGAATATAGAAAAGGATGTATGCTTTACAGCCTATAAAAGCCAAGCAATTAGAGCAGACGTTTTAAGTCTGAGGCAGAATACAAGTAACAAAAACAAGAAACAAAACCAAACAAATAAAAACTAATGTGATTTTTTATGGACAGTCCTTGGTCACGAGTGCCTAACTTTGAGGAGGGCAGAGGAATTTAACATTGTTGTTGAGACAGGAACGGCTTCCCTGAAGAAATGACTCTAATAACTGAAGTGTGCCAACAAGGTTTAGAAAAGTCAGATTTTGGTCAGTTTGGTCTTTTCAGAAAATCTGGTATTCTTACATTTAAACTGTTGATGTTTTAGCTGGGTAGTAATATTATTGGCATCACACTTAAAAGACACTTGTTTAAACACCTTTCCCCTCAAAATCCATCATATTTCAGTGCGAAAGACACTTCCCACCAATCCTTCCCACTAGATGCTAGAGAGACTTATCCTTCGTAGCCACTTTATGACAGCCTCTGTTTTCAGTACTTCCTTCAAAACCGAGTGGAGATCAGAGGCGTGCTGCTGACCCCTCATTTCCCGGAGGATGAAGCAGCGAGGAAAGGGTATCCCAGATGATCTTGTTTCCTCACAAGGCAGGATGGTTCCTTGCAGAACACAGAGTAGGCCCTCCTGGGGCCCCATCGTTACCAATTCAAGGACTCTTTACAGTCCACCCTGCCCAGCTCACAAAGGGCTAACTCTTCTCTTCCCACTTAGGTTCTCATTTGACCCACAAAAGCACTGAATGGGGCCCTTCCTTCAAATGATCCACTCACGTGAAAAGAACTTTACTCAGCACCAAAGTGGGTTTTTTTCCACTATAAAGGGAAACATGCCATAAAGCAAGTATACATGAGTAACTGGTTCTTCAACGCATGTCCAACAAAGGGGTTGTTGAGGAATACTGCCAACGAGCTTTTTCTGCTTTCTCCTTGATCAAATTAATTGTTAATAATTTTGACTAGTTGCACAAGTTTGGTTTCTTGATCCTTTGCTAAACTGTTCATTCTTAACATTGCTTCCACGGTTCTGTCTTCCTCCTCTCTACCTTCAAGGACCAAACTCATCTATGTGACAACAATGATTTTGCAGATATTCTGGAAAACTTAACTAGCTTTACCAGAGAGGTCAACTGGCTTTATGTGTACGATTCTCTCTGTTTGAGGAATCCAAAGTTATTTATGTGACATTTACATATGTGACTATGATCCCTTTATATTCTAATAAAAATCACAGCGGATATTATCTCACTCTATACAAAATTAACGCATATGGCAGAAATGCTAAAATGTCTGTTTCATTTTTAAAGTAGTAAAATGAGTATCTGAGAAAGTTCTCTCACAAAAGCGAGCACTAAAACAACATGAAACCACTTCACCAGGATATTCTCCATCCAAACTGCTTTTTAAAATCCGTTCCTGTTTTCCTTTTTTTATTTTCACCCTTTGAAGAAATGTTCATATCCTTTGCTGTAAGTCAGCTGAAACACTAGATCTTATGAAAGAAGGGAGAAAAGCAAGTGAAGCAATAAAAGGAAACCCAGCTACGGACAATATTAATTCATAAATAGATGTTCCATGAAGCAGAATTCTGAACACTTCAAAATATTTGGTACCAGATTTTACTCCACCGAATTAAACACATAGATTCCTTCCCTATGGCACATGCATTTGAGTAGTAAATATTTTTTTCAAACCACCACTTGAAAAATATTATTTCAATATTAAATATAAGTGTTTTATATCATATCTTAATATATTGATGAGATACAGTATTGCACCTAATCAAAAATTTAGGATAACTGACTTTACAGAACTCAAACATTAATTAAGAAACTCACATTCTAATTACTAACAATTAAAATAATTAAATACCTTTTGTAGACTGGTAGGGTTTAGCTGAGTTTTATCTATTATTTTCACAGCAACCTAAAAAAGAGAATCATTAAACTATATTTGAGAATATACATTTTAATGAATAAAATCTTATAAAGAAAACATCTTTTGTTCCATTTCTAACTAGAAATAATTCAGTGGTCACATCAATGGATGGCAAAGTTTTGCTAATTAGGCAGCCATAGATGATACATCATTGAACCAAGTTTTTGACCTGTTTGATTCTGAGTCAATGAAATGACACTTCTGATATTTCTGCCAAGTTTCCTCTTTTTAAATAAAAATCATCTGCATCTTCATCTATTACCCATGATCTGGATGTTACAATTATCAGAGGGGAGGAGCTTATAAACTTTCAGTAACTTAAGTTTTATGTGAGTGAAATGATTAGGTGGGTAGACAAACTAGACACCCAAGCTTAGTTATGGCCCAACAACAAAATGGACTTGAAGAGCCTCTTAGTCTTTGCGTAATATAGACTGTATCTGAGCAGCTCCTGGGGTCAGACAGGACAGAGAGAAGGAAAGTGAAGTAAAAGTGACTTAATAATATTTAATATATATTAATATTATATATTTAATAATATTAAGTATGGAGCTAAATTAAGCTTACTAAAAACATTTTGTGAGAGATTTTTCTCAATGTCCTAACTGGATCCAGTAAATGTTATGTAATACAGAATGTTAGATGTTTAACTATTTTTAATCTTTAACATATAAATTATTAAATATATTACTATTAATAAGAATTATTAAATGTATCCATTTTTACAATATAAGTACAGATAATTTAAAACATATGCGATTTTAGAAACCCAATTTTCTTATAAAACATCTGAATAACAATACCTGCTCAATGTGGTCTCTACGTCAATAAAAATCAGTGGGTTACTTTCTGCACATTTATACCTGATACTTAATAAAAGCTAATCCTTGCCCGGTTCCTAAAGCTGGGCAACAAGGGTAATCCAAAATATTTCCAGAAATCTTGTAATGAAAGACAGAAGCCTGAGAGAAACTTGTTTGCATCTGACTCCGCCTTTGGGATGCTACTCTAGGGATGTGTCCTTTCTAAACATGACAGGGCAACTTGTTGTGCTGTGATACACTTAGCACGTCTACCCAGCATGCCCCACTCGCACCCGCCCCAGAGCTTACCACACGGCTCGTGGCCTTTATTCTAGGGAAGCTTTCTAACAGGACTCTGGAGAAGTAAATGCTCAATATCCACGCATCTACTAAAAAGCGTCATGAACACTTACCTCTCTACCAGTTAGAACATGTCTTGCCAATTTCACTTTGGCAAAGTTCCCCTTCCCTATTGTTTTCTGTAAACGGTAGTTTCCAATGTGTGGCTGCTCGTCCGTTGCTGCCGTGATGGAGTTTCTGCACCGAGGGAAGCTCTGTCTGCTGCTGGATTTGGGAGGCTGGACGTGCGGCTCCGGGTGTCCATCCACAGACGTGTGCTAAGAAGAGGGTTACAGGGTGTCCTGGGTCATTCCATTATAACAAGACAGTCAAAAAGACCACAAACACCTTCGTTAATAATTCATCGTCAAGGAAAATACATTGCAGCACGGATTTTAAAGTTGGCCATTCCACTTGTCATTTCTATTGGACATCAGCTCCTTTTGCCACAGGGAGCAGAACTATTTAAAATGCAATGTTCTGCATAGTTTGAGGCATATGCTTAGGATTAAAAACCATGAATGGCTAGATCTACTGGAGCCCTGGAGGCCATTACTCCTCTGAGGGTGTGTTTGTTTAGTTCAGATGATATCACAGCCCAGGATTGCTTCACTACCAAGTCTTTCATGCTAAGACAAAAAAGACCGCACGAGCTCAGTTCTATTTCTCTAAACTTGCCATGTTCACGTGTTCACTTGCTGGGCACATAACCCAGCCAGTGGACCCCCCAGCTCCCCGCTGTGGGTATACCTCTAATCAATTCCTGCCCAATCCAACTCTCAGCCCACCACACCCTCGCAAAGCTACCGACAGTCCTGCTCGGCTCCGTGACTTCATGTCCGCCTTCCTCCCCAGCGCTGCTCCTGAGGCGGGGCTCTCCCTTTGTCTCAGTCTCCCACTAGCCTACAGCTGCCACCCCATTGCTCACCTGCAAGTTGCACCCCCTGAGCTCCCAGGTCAAGCTGCCTAACAAACTGTTTCACCAGCTCTGACTATTCCTGCTGTGGTCTAGTTTTGTCTGCATTCCTGCATAGATACAATTTCTAGCTGGTTTTGTGAAAACATAGACTCACACATAAACATGACATCTTTTTCCCATTAGCTCTGTAAAAATAGCTGAAGGTAAGTAGAACAAATTAGCAGAAGGGGATACCTTTGATTGGTCAAGGAACTAAATCAGACTTCTGTTGTCCTACCTACGTGACCAAAGCGTGTCTAAAAATTTTTGATCAGAAAGATCTTAAAGGCAACTCCATTTATCAGTCTTATGCAAAACATGACTCAAGGTTAGTCATGTTTCTGTTGCTACTTTCTGATTTTTTAAAAACTTGGCTCAAGATCAAGTTAGGTATATGACCAGAAGGCAAAGTTAACTCTATGCAAGAAAAATATTCCAATGTATCACCTCAATTTCAAATATACAGAGTAGTAATAAGTGATAAGCAAAACAAAAAACAAAAACAAAAACAAAAATCCCAGAAACAAGATGAGAATATCCTACCAACACTCTCATTCCACATTATGGTAGTGCTAGATAGACCAGCCATGCTTTTAAAGAAGATTTATGTATATCATCTTTCCACAACCGGCATAAATATAAACCTAGAATATGCAAGCACTGCTTCAGTTCAACAGTTACAAGAGAGAAGATCCTTAATAATCAATTACATTCAGAAGAATCATTCAGGAACTCTTAACTCATCCTTTCAAATTCAGCTTAGACATTACCGCCCAGGTAAAGCCAGACATCAAATAAGAGCTTATATTTCCCCCCTCAGCTAAGCTGGGTTCAATGCCCATTTTTGGTAATTCTATAGTTATTTCTAGCAATTCATTGCCCCCAACTTTTTAATTAATTTTTATTAAAATGATATATATACATGGTGAAATATGTCAAGTAACTGCGATAAGCTACTAACAAAAAATATCAGTCCCCTGTGCCACCTTTCCAGACTTCCAGCCTGGTCCCCCCAGCCTTTTCCTTTAGCTTTTCCTTCTAGTATTTGCTAATTCTTGGTCCATCGGTCTTTGACATTCTCTCAATTTCCTACTACGGCCAATAAAGATTAAGATTTTGTAGCGTCCCCCCTTCTCATCCAACTAATGTAATGTGCTCAACTTTTCAGTTAAAAAGTATTGTGTTTATATAAATATGACTTGTAAACACTAACTCAGTGGAAGCCAAGCAGGACAGTATGGTGTTTCTATTAACCTTTCTTTTTGTCAGCTCACTGCGGTGTGAATAACGCACAATGAAATTCACCAACGTTCAGTGTACAGGATGAGTTGTGAGAAAACATATAAAGTCATGAAACACTATCACAGTGTAAATATGTAAAACCGTCCTCATGCCAAAAATTCCCCTGTACCCCACTACTGCCAAGGCCCCCCTCTTGTACTACACCTTTGCTTTTCTAGAATGGGAGAAAAATAGATCACACCCTACAGAGCTGAACTTGTTTCTTTCATTGTAATTCCTGATATACTTGGACTTACTTCTGCATTTTGTTTTGTGTTTGTTTTCTCTTTCCTTATTTTTCCTGCTCATTAGATTTCTGTGTTCCTTTTTTCCCTCCACTCCTGTCCTGGGAGCTCTACCTCCAGTGTCTATTCTGTTGGTGGTTATTTAAACATTTTCAGGGTAAAAGTCACAGTGCCGTGGGCTGGGGAAATGTGGACAACGAGGAAATGGAGGCAGCGAGGGCACATGACGCCCTGAGAGGTGCGACCTGGACGAAGAGGCACCGGTGGGACAGAGGAGCGGGGGGGGGGGGGGGGGGGGAGATAACTGTTCGTTCGCTTGTTCTAAGATGGGAGAGACTTGAGCATGTTGAAATCCCAACGGAAGGGCGCAGTGGGAAAAGATAAGCAAAGTTCCTGGGAAGGTGGAAAGTGAGAAGAGGCAGGGCGCTGATGGAGAGATGGCCCTTCTGCAGGAAGAAAGACATCTCGTCTCCTATAACAAGCAGAAAGGAAGAGAAATCAGGTCTAGGTGTAGAAAAGTATGCACACTTGATCGTAGGAAGCTGAGGTAGTTCCAATCTGATGGCCCTAACTTTCTCTGTGTGGCTGAAGGGAAGGTCACCTGCTAAGAGTGAAGAGAGGCCACGGGTTTGCAGAGAGGAGAAGAGATCTGAAAAAACTTCTGTAGAGGAAACCCGCATCAATCAAAGAAGCCTTGTAGGGCCGCTGGGCAGTAGAGACAGTCTAGCTGACATCGGTGGCCGCAGATGTGTCTCGTGGCTCTCACCTGCCCGGCTGTATGGCCTTCTTCGGCAACACTCACGCGCCCACAGAAAGGGCTCAGGGAGCAGATCCATGAGTTGACCCTGGTCTGGAGTTTGCCAAGCAGGCGCCGGCAAGGAGGGCGTGGCAAGGTGAGTCAGGTTCTGGGCGAGGTCTCCAAATGCTGGACTGTAAAGTCTGACTGGATAGTGAAGGCAATGAAGACAGAAAGAGCCGATGGACAGAGAAGCAGAGGCCAGCACCCTGGAGGGCCCAGAGGTTTAGAGGTTCCCAGGCACAGAAGAACCACGGCAGTGAGGTCGGAGGGTAACCACAGCGAGACGGGCTTCCAGAGCTGCTGCAAGGCCAAGCCCTTGCGGTCCAGGAGACGGGCAGCTGGACCAGTGATCAGCAGACGTTATCAGCATGGGATGTTTTGTAAAACCACCAAGAACTGTTCTGCATTTTTTCAGATTTTAAAAACATGTGCCTATTCTAGTTTTTAAATGATTTAAGGATTAGCATTAAACCTCACAGTCACATGATGAGAAATCACTTTAATTGTCTATAATTTTCACCAGTTACATTATTCACAATAGTTTTTCATATCCCTGCATTTCCCTCTTTTAGAGTCACTTTTTCTCATTTGTGAAAAATTTCTCAGATAGGTATGCAGTATAGGTGATACACTCTAAATCATTGCAGTTAATTTTTTTCTCTATTTTAACTTCACATATAAAAAATAATTCAGTTGGATAGAGAACAGGTACAAAGAAACATGTTCCCACTTATTTCTGGATTTGTTCCAGAAGGTTCCATGCTTTAGAATCATGACCTAGTGAAAACCAGAAAATCATTACAATTAAATAGTGACTCACGAGTGACAAAACAATGAGAGGAAATTTTATAGAATTTCCAGGGGGAAAAATGTTTACAGAGGTTTATCTAAGAAATAGACCCATATATAAAGGAGATTTAGTGACAGGTCAATGTGAATGTTGTTAGTATCTCATATCAATGGAGAAATAATAAATTATTCACCAAATGGTTTTATAACAACTGAAAAAAAATTAAGCTGGCTCTCACTCCTTACATCAAAATTAATTCCCAATGAGGTAAGGATATTAATGTAAAAAAAAACCCCAAAAACTAAGAAGCCATAAATGGAAGCACTAGGAAAAATAAATGGCAGGATAGCAACTGTTTTTAAGGTCTAGGCACAGGAAATGCCTTCCCAAGTGTGACACGCAACAGACGCCATGATTTTGTTGTTGTTAAATTTGAAACCATAAAAAAAATAACTGGATGGTTTTGTAAAAAACTCTCCTTAAATCACTATAAAATGATAAGTAATACACTGAGAAAAAAAACATTTGTAACATAGCAGGCAAATGGTTAATGTTTTAATACTAAAACCTTTGCTAAATCAATCATAAACAATCGATGAGAAAATACAAATAAGCAAAAGTTAGGTACAGCTGGTGCGCACTCCCTCTTGCTTTACTTACTTATTTTATATATATATATATATCAGGATGGAAAAGCGCATGTTTGTGTCTTAAACGGTGGTCCCTCGCCTGGCTGCTTGTCCCTCAGTTTGTCCCCCTCTGACCAGCATGCACTGACAACTACTTGTAATCCCTGGAAACGGGCATCCTGGGTCCATGGACCATGGGTCCAACAATAGTAACAGCCACCATTTACCTGATGCTGATGACGTCCTCCGTGACGAGTGCTTTTTTAAGCCATGGCTTTATTTAATCCTTACTGTAAACTTGAGAAGCTATAACATCACCCACTTTATAGACAAGAAGTCAGAAGCTTGGCCAGTAAGCAAGCTGCCAGCAGCCACACTGTCAAGGGCCGTTCCAGGAGTCAAAGCCAGGTCCGTCTCACTGGAAAGCCCAAGCTCTTAAAATGCCACACGGCCTCCCCAGCCCTTTCCTCCGCCGGAGAGCACAGTGTCTGAAACGAGCAGAAGCCGTCCGTCGCGGCCACTGCTTTTGGAGCTGAGCGTCCTCAGAGAACACAAGCCTTTACCATCTCTCATTCG